GATAACGCGCGCAGGCAATGAGGACTCCGGTTTCTCCATGAGTTTCCAAAGGAACTTTTGGCACCGCGCTGAGCGGTTAACAGAAGGGACCCCATCTAGATCATCCAAGATAAGCTTCACTTTGTTGGCAATCTCAGCCAGCTCTTCCTCTTTTTCAGTCAGGTCACTTTTACAGCACTCGTCCAAATAGCTTTGGTCAATTTTCCAGAATTCCATCTCTTTAATGAAACAAATGGGACAGATACCTCGTTTGATGTGAATCTCACCGAAGTAATACACGTCAATTATACATCTGAAAGCGTCAGGATCCCGGTCAAAATAAAACTCCCTTTTACCCGGGTCGTAGTCATCACAAAGTGAGTAGATAATGTCGTAATTCAGAGTTGAGCAGTTGATAAGTTCTGCAAGTCGACTCTCCGGGTAGCGGTTAAGCACATCCCCGTATAAAACTAGCCTCACCCCGCCAATGTTCACGGCTATCTCGGCTTCATCCCTCGTGTCCAAGCTGTTGCAGTTCTTATATCGGGGTTTGGGTATAGTCCACATCTTTCCTGCTGTCGTATGCTATTTTCGGCGTCGAAAATGTCGAAATGCAATAAACAGACTTATGTTTCATGTGCATGAACAGTTTAAAGTGCAGGTAGCCAATAAAGTAGACTAATTTTAAAAAGGAGGAAAGCCATTGCGCAAAACCCCGCTCTGCGCTCTCCCAAGTCCAAAGCGGCAATTAAGTAATCTCTCTCTCTCTCTCTCTCTCTCTCTCTCTCTCTCTCTCTCTCTCTCTCTCTCTCTCTCTCTCTCTCACACACACACACTCACACTCACACTCACACTCACACACACACTGCTGCTGCGGCTCTGAGCTCTGTGGGCGGATATTCTCTGTGGGCGGATATCACTCTGCTTGAAGTTTTGAATTTACCAAACCGGCTTGGGCAATTAACACAATTATTGCATATGGTTGAAGTGAGGTGATATGATGTGAGTGCAGTGGCGACCCGTCATTCAAACCTGTTAAGGTTTTTTTGTGTGCCTGTTTTGCATGCTATTTTGGCATTAATAGGTGTCACATTTCAGTTTACAAACAATGTAAAAAATAAATAATAATTGAGTTACTAAAGCCGCATAGAAACATGGTCTCTTTTTTGCTTTCTTGAGTAAGGCAGCTCCAAAATGCAGGTGTTTCAGCCTAGCTCAGTGCTTTCTGTGGTGGTGTGGCAGCCAGTGTAAAATACGGAGTGTAGGGGTTGATCGTTTTCTCTAGTTGCGCTGTGATTGGCTCAGTGTTCTGTCACTCATGGGGACACTATGTCACCGCAAAATCTACAGGGAGAGCTCGAAAATTCAAGCCATAGAGTTACATTAGAAGTGTCCATCCAAGAAGGCTCAAGGTCATTGGCCACAGATAAAATCATTTCAAATCACGTTATATCTACCATAGCTTTGTTTGGACTGATCATGTCAATATCATACTTTCAACATCTTAGCTAGCAAGCTAGAAGTCATCATCATGATTCAAGTCGACAATCTACTGGCAAATCATTTTCAATCCTTGTCATATGAAGAGAAATTATGAAGAGAAATTATAGATAAAACGTATCGGTGCTCATCGGCCATTGGACATAAACATTACACAACAAGTTGGAAAACGCAAATTCAACAATGAGTGGTTTGGAAGGAATAGGTGGCTAACTGCAAGCATTGCAAAGCAATCACTGGCCTGCTATTCAGTGGGGTGGGGGTGTGGTCCAAGTCTGGGTTTAAGGGTCTATTTTCCAAGCTTAAAATGATAAACATTCAACTTTGGCCATGCTGTCAATCCAGCATGACTTCTGCCGCGTTCAAAATAACTGGAAACTCGGAACTGGGAAATCTCAGACTTCAGTGAGTTCAAGACAACTGGGAACTCAGAAAAAAATTAGCTCCGACTGGGAAAATAGGTTTTCAACAGCAATCCAACTCAGAATTCCAAGTCAGGAACTTGGGCCTCTTTTTAGAGCTCCGACATGAAGATCACTGACGTCATGATTCAACCTTGTTTTTTTCAGAGTTCCCAGTTGTCTTGAAAGCACCATAAATCCAGATAATGCCAGACTTTGATGACAAAGTTTGATGACAAAATGTCCCCACAAAGGACCGCCGCGCCACCTTCCTGTTCAAGTGAGCACAGCACAACAAGGTGAGTCAAAAAAATTATTGTATGCTGCTGCATAAATTATGTAATATGCCAGGGAGATATGTATACTGTAGCTAAGAAAGTAATACTAAGTGTATGTTGTGTAGTAAGCTGTTAGTAGCCAATGTGACTCACCCTAATAATTTGGTCCCTTTTCCCCTCATAACTTAGCCTACTGTTCTGACTTGGTGGTGCACATATAGCACATAGCCTGTTTTAGAGAAATGTCATTATTGTATATTTTAAGAGCATTCATTGTCTGCTTATATGCCCCCTTTATTTATCTTACAGTTCTGACTTGGTGTACAGAGAATACTGTAAGAACGGCCCATGTTCTGAATTCTGTCATTTCAAAAGTGCTGAACAAATAGTTATATTGACTACGTCCATCCTAGCTTGCTCATTTATGTCTTAATTGAAATTACGGATTGCCTCTTATCTGCTGGTCGTCCCCTTATGCCATCTCAATTGTCAATAGAAACCAAATTTGTTAAAGCAAGTCAGCCATATCAGCTATGTTTTTATAAAAGTCAGTAAATGAGGCTGAATGAACTGTTTTGCTGCCAGACAAGGCTCCGCTGATAGCCAGGTGTAGCAGTGGTAAGGTGTTGGGACTGCTGTTGGGACTCTGCTGTTGAGACAGCTTTATGTAGGCCCTAACAGTTTGTGGGCACTGTTTGTCACCGTTATAGTGCAATTAATGTATTGTTTTGTGTTGTGTTGTGTAGTGGCTTTGCTGGCATGCATAAAAATGTTTTGGGGGGTTTGCCCTACCAATATTTACATGCTAAAATCGCTACTGTGTGAGTGGGAATTGATGCAGAACTTGTTGGTGAGCGTATGGCACACTACAATACATATCTGTCTTGACAACACATAGAAGAAAAAAGACATCTGGGAAATTAATACGAAGTTATTGTCAGGGGTAATGTCAAAGCGTTACCATTAAATGACATCAATATCTGCTGTTGCCCTTTTGATAACTTTGGACAGCCGCGCAATTACGCACGTCTCCAGAAAATGGAGATATGACACTCTCTGCTGACAACAAATACAATTGCACAATTCGAGATGCTCGGACATACTGTAAGATTCCAGTCCAGAGGGTCAGATTAAATGTATGGTGATAGGTTCAGGACCTGAGCACGAGATATCTCCTCTTTCCACAACTGACAAAGGGCATTTTCCTATATAGCTACAATGATCACGTGTTCACTGGTGTCCAAATACACCCCCCCCCCCCCCCACACACACACACACACACACACACACACGCACACACGCACGCACATACACACACACACACACACACACACACACACACACACACACACACACACACACACACACACACACACACACACACACACACGTGTGCTACACTTCAGGTAACTGCCCAAATAAAGGAAACACCAACATAAAGTGTCTAAATAGGGCATTGGGCCACCATGAGCCAGAACAGTTTCAATGCACCTTGGCATAGATTCTACAAGTGTCTGGCACTCTATTGGAGGGATGTGACAACATTCTTCCACGAATGGTGTGTTGGTGATGGCAATGCTCCAGAATCTCCCATAAGTTTTCAATTGGGTCGAGATCTGGTGACTGAGACGGCCATGGCATCATGCTCATCAAACCATTCAGTGACCATTTGTGCCCTGTGGATGGGGGCATTGTTATCCTATGGGGGCATAGCCATGGTAGCCAAAATAATGGCAAAGAATTATGGCCTGCCCAGCATTTTTATTTATGACCCTAAGCATGATGGGATTTTAGCTGCTTAATTAACTGGAACCACAGCTGTGTGCAAGCACCAGCTTTCAATATACTCTGTGTCCCTCATTTAAGCCTACTCATGTTTCCATTATTTTGTTAGTTACCTGTACATGTTCAGCATGAACAATTATAGATGACACAAGGACATCACAGCTACCATACAAAAACTTTTATTGCAGTCACAAAGGGTAGAAATGTGACATTACTGTGATAGTTTCTGTGAGGGAAAAAGATCAGTATCACAACATCACTGATCCACAGTCATGTATCAGCAATAAGTAATAATCACATCCTTAATTGATATACACACAAGATAATTGGTGTCATGAGGATTTAGCTTCATACCAATCCTCTCAGATCGAGTCCAGAAGTTGGTGGATTTCGGATTGGACGCAAGAAATAGAACTGTTGCTGTTGACTTGGTAGCTTAGTCCACACTTTTAGGGTGAACATGGATGTATTTTCTGTTGTATATCATTGGTCCCGACCTTCAATATATTGTGTATACATTCATATGGTCACATAATACCATGTAGGCCAAGTGGGGCCAAATCAAGGATCAGCAATACATAGATTTTCTTTGGTCTGTAGATCATGTCTAGAAATGCATTCTCAACATCTGAAAAAGGTTGCTTGCTTGTAGTCATTGAAGATCATCAAAGCTGAAGAAGTGTATCTGAAATTTTAATTCCTGGCTACCTTGATATTATTCATATCTATGTCTTTAAAAAATCTTTGCTAGAATCAACCACTTATTTAATGGGTTTTGGTATTTTTACAGGCTTTATTCTAGTCCACGGGGAGTTCAGGATGCGTTGACAACCCAAACCCAAACCAATCCCTCCTTCCTAACCCTAGAGCCTTTTGACTTCCCTTCATCCAACTGAAAGGACTAGATATGTATTAGCAATATGATAATCTCTCAATCCTAACCCTCTGGTGGCAGGGTAGAGGCTCACCATATTGTTAATACTTATTTAGGCTTTGAAGTCAACAGGGACCTAGGGAAATTGTTAATTTGGGATTGGGGCCCACTCCTCATTGGCTACTAGCTAGGATCCAGAAGCGTGACACTGATCTGGACACAGATGTAGGAGTAGTAGTCCTGCGGAGACACAGCGCTCAATCCTGGCACGTCAAGGGCCACCTGGCAGACAGAGGGAGACAGAGAGCAGAATATCTCAACAGTTACCCGCAGTGATTGGAGGGACAATCCACTTCATTGATAAAAATTATAAACGCAACATGTAAAGTGTTGGTCCCATGTTTCATGAGCTGAAATAAAAGACCCCCGAAATTTTCCACATGCACCTTGTGCTGGGGATAATAAAAGGTTGAGTTTTCTCACACAACACAATGCCACAGATGTCTCAAGTTTTGAGGAAGCGTGCAATTAGCATGCTGACTGCAGGAATGTCCACCAGAGCTTTTGCCAGAGAATTGAATGTTAATTTCTCTACCAAAAGCCGCCTCCAACGTTGTTTTAGAGAATTTGGCAGTACGTCCAACCGGCCTCACAACCGCAGACCACGTGTAACCACGCCAGCCCAGAGTGCCCCATGGTGGCAGTGGGGTTATGGTATGGGCAGGCATAAGTTACGGACAACAAACACAATTGCATTTTATCGATGGCAATTTGAATGCACAGAGATACCGTGACGAGATCCTGAGGCCCATTGTCGTGCCATTCATCCGCCGCCATCACCTCATGTTTCTGCATGATAATGCACGGCCCCATGTCGCAAGGATCTGTACACAATTCCTGGAAGCTGAAAATGTCCCAGTTCTTCCATGGCCTTCATACCTACTAGACATGTCACCCATTGAGCATGTTTGGGATGCTCTGGATAGACGTGTACGACACCGTGTTCCAGTTCCTGCCAATATCCAGCAACTTCACACAGCCATTGAAGAGGAGTGGGAGAACATTCCACAGGCCACAATCAACAGCCCGATCAACTCTATGCAAAGGAGGAGATGTCACACCAGATACTGACTGGTTTTCTCATCCACACCCCTACCTTTTTTGTTAAGGTATCTGTGACCAACAGATGCATATCTTTATTCCCAGTCGTGTGAAATCCATAAATTAGGGCCTAATTAATGTATTTCAATTGACTGATTTCCTTATATGAACTGTAACTCAGTAAAATCATTGAAATTGTTGCTTGTTGCGTTTATATTTTTGTTCAGTGTATATATCTATGGGAGAGACAATCCCATAAAACACCTAAAGTTGAACAAAGGAAATTACTCTCACTTCAGGCTTGCTGGAGATCATGGCAGAAGCTGTAGGGTCCAAGTGTCCAAACAGAGAACTCAGCTGCTCCCTCAATTTCTTTGTACGCTTCTTATCTGGCTGCAGCAGCAATGCCTGAAAACTCACCGGCAGCCCATACCTGACCAAGTACAGACTAACTAGTAACTGTATGGTTATCATATGACATCAATTGAATTTGACAATAAATGTATTTGACTGACCTGAGAACAGATTCCACAAACACCTCCAGGACTTTCAGGTGGATCCAGGCCACAAACACTTCACTGAAGTTCACCTTGAGCCAACGCACAAAGGTTCCCTTCGGAGAAGACACACACATACGTATACACACAAACTCATACTCTACATATGCATCCACAAGTTACTTATAATCCACCTACATACACTCAAAATGCTTCACTTACATACTGCTCCTTCTTGTCCACAAGAAGACGGCTCATCTCCCGCTTCTGAAGCTCCACCTGATCGAAGCAAAATTCTCGTATCGTGAACCTGTTGCCATGACCACATTAGATCAAATTAGTTATTTACTTCTTGTTGTTCAGAAAAGTATCAAGTGATGTCCTAAGTTGCTGCTGAATTACCTGTCCTTCTTGAAAAGGGTAACAGTGAAAATGGCTTCCTCGCCCTCCTCATAGACCTTCCTGTAGACACACATCGCTAAGTTATGTCAACATCACAACAACATTGCATCAGGTAAGAGATTTGGGCACATATTGAGTTTTACTTTGATAAAACCCACTTTATATAGTCATCACACTACATACCAAATTTATTGTAACAACATCTTATTTTGTTTATTATTAAACCAGATGGTATGATGTGATCATACAATTAGAAATTATAGGATCTCTATGGATTTGATTGCCTTTTTAATAAAAAGGCCATTGTACACCACTGCATGATCCTTACATTAAGACTTGAGGTCAGTGTCTGTCTGGCTCACAAATGAAAGGGATTAACAGACACAATTAGAGCCAATGAGAGCAGTACTGGCAATAGAGTTGAGCTGTGGTCAGACTCACTCTTCTTTTCTGCTGGTAACATTATACCTGCGGTTAGTCTGACCTTCAGACACAGAGAGAGAGACTCTGTGCTACTTGTTTGCCCAGCTCTGCCTGAACTCAAACACATGTACCAGATGGGGTATCTTGCCTTACATTGCTTCTAACCTGAATGTACTAGAAAAAATAGATCTATTATCAGGAATATATTTTGAGTACATTTACATTTTTACATTTTAGTCATTTAGCAGACGCTCTTATCCAGAGCGACTTACAGTTAGTGAATACATTTTTTATTTTATTTTTTTATACTGGCCCCCTGTGGGAAACGAACCCACAACCCTGGCGTTGCAAACGCCATGCTCTATCAACTGAGCTACATGGCTGTAGTACTAGTACCACAGCCAGTTCACGCACGAATGCACGCTCACACACACACACACACACACACACACACACACACACACACACACACACACACACACACACACACACACACACACACACACAGTCATTTGAATGTAAGAATGAATTAATACATAATGTATACAGTATGTATAAAACAAGTAGAGGGATACCTTGGCTATGATGTCTGCCAGGCTCTTAAAAGGCAGTGCAGTGGAGTACTTGGCTCTGTCCCACTGGAACTTTGTCACATAACTGACCAGATCCACTGTTGAGATGCACAGACAACATGTCACAGGCAATCAATTTCACAGTGACACAAAACAAAAGGGCTCCATACAAAACAGAGCTCAGCAAACAGGGACATGCTGAGACACACACACACAGAATCACAGATGGACGTATACACACACACAAAGACAAACACAGATGTATACACAACACAACTACACTGAACAAAAATATAAACACAACAAGTAAAATGTTGGCCCCATGTTTCATGAGCTGAAATAAAAGATCCCCATAAGTTTCCATATGCACAAAAAGCTTATTTCTCTAAAATGTTGGGCACAAATTTGTTTACATCCCTGTTAGTGAGCATTTCTCCTTTGCCAAGATAATCCATCCATCTGACAGGTGTGGCATATCAAGAAGCTGATTAAACAGCATGATCATTACACAGGTGCACCTTGTGCTGGGGACAATAAAAGGCCACTCTAAAATGTGTAGTTTTGTCACACAACACAATGCCACAGATGTCTCCAGTTTTGAGGGATCGTGCAATTGGCATGCTGACTCCAGGAATGTCCACCAGAGCTGTTGCCAGAGAATTTAATGTTCATTTCTCGACCAAAAGCCGCCTCCAACGTCATTTTAGAAGATCTGGCAGTACGTCCAACTGACCTCACAACCGCAGACCACGTGTATGGCGCTCTATGGGCGAACGGTTTGCTGATGTCAACGTTGTGAATTGAGAGCCCCATGGTGGTGGTGGGGTTATGGTATGGGCAGGCATAAGCTATGGACAACGAACACAATTGCATTTTATTGATGGCAATTTGAATGCACAGAAATACCGTTACGAGATCCTGAGGCCCATTGTGAGGCTCATTTCTTTTAAGGTATCTGTGACCAAAAGATGCATATCTGTATTCCCTGTCATGTGGAATCCATACATTAGGGCCGAATGAATTTATTTCAATTGACTGATTTCTTCATAAGAACTGTAACTCTTTGAAATTGTTGCATGTTGCGTTTATATTTTTGTTCAGTATACATGTGCATGAGAGTAAAGACTAAATTAAGAAAACTATCCAAAACACACCAATCAAACCAACCAAACTCTGCATCAGCATTACAATCCTACAATCCTGCAAGCAAAGCAGATAAAATCCCAAACACAAGCCAAAATACCCAGCAAGGTCTTGAAGTAGGCTTTCGAGGGTGACTGGGAGACTTTATGATGAGTCTTGGGGTCTGATGAGGGGAGACGTGGTGGGGAGATGAGGGCAGAACGATGAGCATACTACTACTAGTCTCTTAGCTGTAGAACGTCAGCTGTCAGAACTTTCTTAGATCAGAAACCTTTAGGTAATGGTCATGGTAATAACTAATGGTAATAACTGCATAATAACTAGTAGCACCAACATAGAAGCAAACAAAGGGAACAAAAAAAAACATAACAACTAATTCTACAGAGTACAAAAAAGTACCAAGAGACAATGTTGTATTAACAATGACCTAGTGAGGTGGAAACATAGTTTGCTACTGTAACAAACATGGGTGTGTTCATTTGCAAATTGCTCCTTATTGCAAACACAACATAAATGTACCCAGATCTGAAGTGAACAAGCAGGTTGGAGCAGGGTGGTGTGTGTGTGTACATTTTTTAAATGTTAGTCATTTAGCAGACGCTCTTATCCAGAGCGACTTATTTATTAGGGTTAAGTGCCTTGCTCAAGGGCACATCGACAGATTTTTCACCTAGTCGGCTCGGTGGATTGACCCAGCAACCTTTTGGTTACTGGCCTAATGCTCTTAACCACTAGGCTACCTGCCGGCTACATGTGTGTGTGCATGTGTGTGTGTATGTGCGTGTGCGTGTGTGTGTGTAAAAGTGTATGTGTGTGTGCGTGCGTGCACGAGCACGTGTGTATGTGTAGTGTGTATGCGCATGTACGTGCACACGCACTTCTGTGCTGTTTGATCAGCGTCTTGCTACAGGTGCTTACTATACTATACTGTTTGACTCCGGTCCCCCAGGCCCTCATGCCCTATACCCAGGGTAGGGTAACTGTCACTGGGACTCACCGCCGTTAGCCAGGGCATTCTCCACCACTTTATCACTGGCCTGCTCCATCACCTCCGCCATGCACTGAGCTGTCCTCTGCATTACTCTGGAGAACATGGAGGTGACAAGCCACTTATCATGACAGGAAATAAACATCACCAGAGCCTTATGACTTAACAAATTGTTATATTTGTATATCACAAGGAAGATGAAGAGCTCTACAAACAAAACTTTATACAAGTACCAATTTCCCAAGAGCACTTTATAGGTAGGGGATGTGCTTAGCACTTGTAATAAGAGACTACAGTTTCCTAAAAGTAAACTCAGACTTCCGGGGCTCATAAGAGCAAAGCCCTTCCCAATATCCTTATAATCAGTACCAATGCATGACTTGGACTGAAATAGGTTCCGGTTCTCATTTTGGGTGCCGGTACTGTTTGTATTTAGGTGCAGGAGCTCTACAATACTTTTGAGCAAATATTCTATAAGAGGAACAGGAGCTCAAGCAGCAGAAAAGTTGAGGTGCCGGTACACAGCTTCGGTGAGCTCCTGCCGAAGTCAAGCACTGATCAGTACACTAAACTATTAAGGAACTTCTAACTAACAACTTCAGCCTGCCCAGCTCATATTCAAGCCAATGGAAAAGCAGGAAACAAAATGTCAGCATCATCCAAGCATAAATTAATAATGAAAGAAGAACTTAAAGAGGTATACAGTTAGTAGAGTAAATTACTACTAGCCTATAACATAGTGAGGAAGCACACAGGCACAAAACACACCAACATGACCCTGAAAGTGTCTTGTACCTCTCAGCTTGAGTGTCCAGTTTGGAGAGGTCATCTGACACACCCAGGAGGATGTCCAATGTTCCAACCTGGGAGATTAGAAGTGGAAATGTTACAATCATAATACTTGAAGTGTAAACGTATAACAGGTGACTGGCAGGCTGCAATTACATTGTAACATCTCACTTAGCCTCAAAACAAGGAGCAGGTTTCAGTTAGCTTTTTTCCCCAATTGAAACTTAGGACAGGCTAGTAGACCTTATCGATCAAGTTGAGTGAAAGAGGTCAAATGGAAAACATTCTGAAAGACTCCAAACCATCACTTGAAGAGTGAAATATGAGCCCACCACTTCACCAGGGAAGGCAACTGAACACCTTTGTCCTGTAAATATACAATACTCTGAATCTGACCATTGCTGACCTGAACAGTTATCACAGATGTATTGCGTAGTATAGTGACTGTGAGGTGGAAATACTTGTCCAACTTGTCCAACTGTGGTCTCATTCAACTTTAATTTCTAGTGGATCGCAGTGTTGTCATTCATTACCATAGAGCTGCTGTGTTGTCAGATGTGAATTGCTACTGTACAAAGAAATGCGGAAGTTATGTCATGCTTGGAAGGTCGATGAAGGCGGTACAATCCAAGTCAAGTGGCCTTGTTCATCTATTTGAGCCTCTTGGTAGCTATGCGGCACAAATCCTAACCTTCAATTCTGGGATGGAAAACTTGAAGCTGGAGGCAAGTTTGGTTTTGGCTACAGAATGCTTGAGTTTCTCCAGAGACTGTGAGCTGGTCCTGTCCAGAGGAACAGATATCAACCAGAAGTCTGTCATGACTTGTGCACCCTGGTGCCACCTCTCTCTGCCTTACATGTGGGGTCCCCTAATCTCCAAAAACCTAGAAAATAAAACAGTAATTTATTATGTGGACCCCACTCCATATAATATAGGCTATATAGGACAATGCAGCTTTATAACACACCATAGAATAGTGCAATTTATTAAATAATTTTGAACATGTAGCTACTGCACATGGTTTTGTCATCATGGCCATTAATAAAATAATGAGGAACCATACACTTTAGCCTAACAGGCCAGCTCAAGTGGATTTTCCGTGGAACATTCTTTAATTCTGCCACTTAGCCCCTACTTCAGTCTCTGTTTTCTTCCCTATATTGTTATCATTGAGTCCATCGCCATAATGATAGTTTGACAAAAGCTAATAATTGACATGTCAATAGGTGTTCTACATCAGAAAATAAACACATTTGACAGCTACGGCTACTGTAAAAATACAAATCCGTTTACCGTTAGCTTTGAGCGCCCATCCCCTATTCCAAGCTACGCTCACAGCGTTCAGACATTGGTGGCTTGGGGAGAGGGAATTTTACAGCTTCCCGCGCCGAACCTCTGGGCGAAGACAGGACAGCCATTCGCTAAGATGAGCATTGTTACATCACTGAGAACGAATAGGTAAATGCGCAAACATTTACATAAGGCCAGTGACTCATTGCTCATTCAGAGGCATCCTCTCAAGTTTCCCATATCCATGCAATGACTTCATTTAACAACCTGGTCTCAGAGCATTTCGTATTGTTCTGTATGCATGGGTGTGTATTCATGTCTGCCAAGGGAATCCAGGCTTCCCCCCAAAAATGACACAAAAAAATGAAAAAAGCATACCAAATTATTTATCTTTCATCTCTCTGTGTTTCATAAATGTCCTTCAATTCGCAAGAGGCTGAATGTATCTCACAGCGCCCCTCTGTCTTAGTATGTGTAGCATATCTATCTGACGCTATCTGGTCAGAAAGAGTATGACATTGTTGCCTCCCTTAATAAAACATTTATAAAATAATAGACAATCAGCGTTGAGCTAAACTGAGTGAGCTCAGCTGTGAATGGTCCTGGCGCACCAAAACAAAGTGTAAAGGGAAGCCAGTTTGGATTTGGCTTCAGACCAATCACATCACAAGCTAAACGTCATTATTGACAGAAAAAAACTTGAATTGTTGCATCTCGTGTTGTTGTCCTCCGGTGGCTAGCTAGCTAAAATCGTCCCTATCCTAAATTAGCCATCGATGGAGATAGGGATTTGGACTTGTGGTTTACTTAATTCTCTGTACATTATACCCCTGGCCTGAGAGGATGGAAGTTCAACATGTAGCTAGATGTAGCTAAAATGCTAATGTTATCTAGCTGGCATATGAAAGGAAGTTAGGCTAGCGAGCAAGTATTTTAACCAGGTAATCTAAGACAACAAAAGCTAAAAGCGTGTACTGTATGACAGAGTCATAGACTGTTTAGGCAACATGAAGAGGAGGATGGCGTTTCTAAGTAGGGTGAGTCAACATGTTTTTTCTACTTGCACACACACACCACACACACACAGTCTTGTACAACTAACAATTCAGTCCCATTCGAAATCCTATTTTCCCTAACCCTAAACCTAACCCGTACCCGTACCCTTACCCTAACCCTAACCCTAACCGTAACCCCAAAAACCTAACCCTAGCTCCTAACCCTAAAACTAACCCTAGCTCCTAACCCTAACCCTAAACCTAATTCTAACCCTAACACTAATTCTAACCTTAACCCTAAACCCCCTAGAAATAGCATTTGACCTTGTAGGGACCAACAAAATGTCCCCATTTGGTCAAGTTTTTGTTTGTTTACTATTCTCGTGGGGACTTCTGGTCCCCACAAGTATAGTTAAACATGTCCACACACACACACACACACACAGAGAGAAATCAGTGCCATGGACAGCCACATCATATTTAGCTTACGTTGATTGGACTAAATCGTTTTTGGTATCTTTTAGTTGTCACTGTATTAGACTAAGCATAGGTGATTAGATGATGTTGAAATGTTGAAGTTGAAATGGTGCTGAAATAGTGGGTCAGCTCCTGTTTTCTTTGCGACTTGCGGTAACTCTCCGTTGTTCTAAATCAGTAGTAGTCTGAAAATGTCGGAAACGTTACCTAGCTTGACCATGCTTTAGGTCATGTAACTGTTTGTTACATGCAATATGTGTCACGCCTGCTCCCGCTCCCCCTCCCTGGCACTCAAGGGCACCAGGCTACCCATCATTACGCACACGTCACCATCATTACGCGCATCAGCGTTTCATTGGACTCACCAGGAATTCATCACTGTTTAATTACCTCCTCTATATCTGTCTGTTCCTTAGTTTGATCCCCGTGTTGCATTGATGTTGTTTTGTTTCTCTCGTCCAGACGCTGTTCTTGCTTTGTTTCATGTCTATTTATTATTAAATCATCACCCTGTACTTGCTTCCTGTCTCCCAGTGTCTGTCGTTACAATATGTTTTGTGGACTTCACCGGACAGATGTTGCTCTCCGGTTTTATAATGAAACAAATGTGTGGTTGAATTTATTCTGCTACTGTGTCTTTTTATTGTCTCGGCCTTAGGCCTATATACAGTATGTTACGAATTACAATCAGTATTACAGTGGCTTGCGAAAGTATTCACCCCCCTTGGCATTCTTCCTATTTTGTTGCCTTACAACCTGGAATTAAAATTGATTATTTATTTTTTTTTGGGGGGGGGGGGGGGTGAATACATGCCTAACACTTTGAAGATGCAAAATATGTTTTCTTGTGAAATAAACAAGAAATAAGAAAAAAAAACAGAAAACTTGAGCGTGCATTACTATGAGGTTTCCCTCAAGAATTTCCCTGTATTTAGCGCCATCCATCATTCCTTCAATTCTGAAAATCCACCTTTCCAGAAATAAGTCTCTCACTGTTGCTGCTTGCTACAGACCCCCCTCAGCCCCGAGCTGTGCCCTGGACACCATATGTGAACTGATTGCCCCCCATCTATCCTCAGAGTTCGTACTGCTTGGTGACCTAAACTGGGATATGCTTAACACCCCGGCCAACCTACAATCTAAACTAGATGCCCTCAATCTCACACAAATGATCAACGAACCTACCAGGTACAACCCTAAATCTGTAAACATGGGCACCCTCATAGATATCATCCTGACAAATTTACCCTCTAAATACACCTCCGCTGTCTTCAACCAGGATCTCAGCGATCACTGCCTTATTGCCTGCGTCCGTAATGGGTCCGCGATCAAACGACCACCCCTCATCACTGTCAAACGCTCCCTAAAACACTTTAGCGAGCAGGACTTTCTAATTGACCTGGCCCGGGTATCCTGGATGGATATTGACCTCATTCCGTCAGTAGAGGATGCCTGGTTGTTCTTTAAAAGTGCTTTCCTCTCAATCTTAAATAAGCATGCCCCATTCAAAAAATTCAGAACTAAGAACAGATATAGCCCCTGGTTCTCCTCAGACTTGACTGCCCTTGACCAGCACAAAAACATCCTGTGGCGTACTGCATTAGCATCGAACAGCCCCCGCGATATGCAACTTTTTAGGGAAGTCAGGAACCAATATACACAATCAGTTAGGAAAGCAAAGGCTAGCTTTTTCAAACAGAAATGTGCATCCTGTAGCACTAACTCCAAAAAGTTTTGGGACACTGTAAAGTCCATGGAAAATAAGAGCACCTCCTCCCAACTGCCCACTGCACTGAGGCTAGGAAACACTGTCACCACCGATAAATCTACAATAATCGAGAATTTCAACAAGCATTTTGCTACGGCTGGCCATGCTTTCCACCTGGCTACCACTACCCCGGCCACCAGCTCTGCACCCTCCGCTGCAACTTGCTCATGCCCCCCCCCCCCTGCTTCTCCTTCATACAAATTCAGACAGCTGATGTTCTGAAAGAGCTAAAAAATCTGGACCCCTACAAATCAGCTGGGCTAGATAATCTGGACCCTTCTTTCTAAAATTAGCCGCCGAAATTGTCGCAACCCCTATTACTAGCCTGTTCAACCTCTCTTTCGTAATGTCTGAGATCCCCAGAGATTGGAAAGCTGCCGCGGTCATCCCCCTCTTCAAAGGGGGTGACACTCTAGATCCTAACTGTTATAGACCTATATTCATCCTGCCCTGCCTTTCTAAAGTTTTTGAAAGCCAAGTTAACAAACAGATCACCGACCATTTCGAATCCCACCGTACCTTCTCCGCTATGCAATCCGGTTTCCGAACTGGTCATGGGTGCACCTCAGCCACGCTCAAGGTCCTAAACGATATTATAAACGCGATCGATAAAAGACAGTACTGCGCAGCCGTCTTCATCGACCTGGCCATGGCTTTCGACTCTGTCAACCACCGCATTCTTATTGGCAGACTAAATAGCCTTGGTTTCTCTAATGACTGCCTCGCCTGGTTCACCAACTACTTCTCAGATAGAGTTCAATGTCTCAAATCGGAGGGCCTGTTGTCTGGACCTCTGGCCGTCTCTATGGGCGTGCCACAGGGTTCAATTCTCGGGCCGACTCTATTCTCTGTGTATATCAATGATGTCGCTCTTGCTGCTGGTGATGCTCGGATCCACCTCTATGCGGACGACACCATTTTGTATACATCTGGCCCTTCATTGGTCACTATGTTAACAAACCTCCAAACGAGCTTCAATGCCATACAACACTCCTTCCGTAGCCTCCAACTGCTCTTAAACAATAGTACAACTAAATGCATGCTCTTCAACCGAATGCTGCTTGCACCTGCCCACCCGACTAGAATCACTACTCTCGGCGGGTCTGACCTAGAGTATGTGGGCAACTACAAATACCTAGGTGTCTGGTTAGACTGTAAACTCTCCTTCCAGACTCACATTAAGCATCTCCAATCAAAAGTTAGATCTAGAATCGTCTTACTATTTCTCAACAAAGCCTCCTTCACTCATGCTGCCAAACATGCCCTCGTAAAACTGACTATCCTACCGATCCTTGACTTCGGCGATGTCATTTACAAAATAGCCTCCAACACCCTACTCAGCAAATTGGATGTAGTCTATCACAGTGCCATCCGTTTTGTCACCAAAGCCCCATATACTACCCACCATTGTGACCTGTACGCTCTTGTTGGCTGGCCCTCACTACATATTCGTCGCTAAACCCACTGGCTCCAGGTCATCTATAAATCACTGCTAGGCAAATCCCCGTCTTATCTTAGCTCACTGGTCACCATAGCAACACCCACCCTTAGTCTGCGCTCCAGCAGGTATATCTCACTGGTCATCCCCAATGCCAACACCTCCTTTGGCCGCCATTCCTTCCAGTTCTCTGCTGCCAATGACTGGAACGAACTGCAAAAATCTCGGAAGCTGGAGACTCTTATCTCCCTCACTAACTTTAAGCGTCAGTTGTCAGAGCAGCTTACCGATCACTGCACCTGTACACAGCCTTTCTGAAATTAGCCCACCCAACTACCTCATCCCCATATTGTTATTTATTTTGCTAATTTGCACCCCAGTATCTCTATTTGCACATCATCTTTTGCACATCTATCTTTCCAGTATTATACGAAATTGTAACTATTTTGCAATATGGCCTATTTATTGCCTTACCTCCATAACTTACTACATTCGCACACACTGTATATATATTTTCTGTTGTATTTTTTACTTTATGTTTTGTTTACCCCATATGTAACTCTGTGTTGTTGTTTTTATCGCACTGCTTTGCTTTATCTTGGCCAGGTCGCAGTTGTAAATGAGAACATACCTGGTTAAATAAAGGTTAAAAAAATAAAAAATAAAATAAAAAATATTTCTTCATGTTTCTTTGATATCAGTATCGGTGTTCAACTTTCGTTATATTTCCCTCCAGCTGTTGTCTTTTGTGTGCTTGTCCGAATACAACCGCATCAAAGGGTTGTTCTCGTATGTCTCACCAGTTTGCATAGAGGCTCCTCAAAACTGGACAGAGACATAGACATCATTGCGCGCAGCAAATAAAAAAGAAAAAAAGCGCAATAAAGGAAGCTTGCAAGTAGTAGAAGCGAAGTAGCAGAAAGTCCATCTCTTCCGTGTTTATACCATTTACATTTTACATTTACATTTTAGTAATTTAGCAGGCGCTCTTATCCAGAGCGAACTACAGTAGTGAGTGCCTACATTACTACCACAATGGATACTGGAAAATATGTGATTTAGATACAGGGGTGGGACTTCCCTTGCAATACTCACTCAATACTGCCCCTCAGTCTTCGCAAGGAATGATACGTCGGGTCTCAATTTCCAGGTAGAAAAAAACTGTGTTGAATGACGGACTGTCTTACAAGGAGCCGCCCCTTTTGTGATGAAAAACGACATTGCAGCACTGCGCTACGCTCCGTTGGCCCTATTTGCGTATTCTGTGTAGACCACTTTAGGGTTAAGGGTTAAGTTTAGGAGTTAGGTTAAAGGGTTAAGGTTAGGGTTAGGGTTAGCAAAAAGGGCTAAGGTTAGGGTTAGGGTTAGCTAACATGCTAAGTAGTTGCAAAGTAGCTAAAAAGTAGTTGAAAAGTTGCTAATTAGCTAAAATGATAAATTAGCAATCTTTGGGTTGCTAGACATTCATGTTATACACCCACCTATCCACCATACTTTCGTTTTTGCCTTAAGTAACCATCTGTCTTATGTAACCATACCAAACATAACATATCATACAAATTTAAGTGTCTCGGATTTACATTTACTATGTTATGTCTAGTCTATGAGACCAGGATGCTTTTAGTGAATGCGTGAGTGACCATTACAGTACAGTATGGTACAGTGGAGTTTAATTATTTCGCCGGTTCGAATCCCCGAGCCGACTAGATGAAAAATCTGTCGATGTGCCCTTGAGCAAGGAACTTTACCCTAATTGTTCCTGTAAGTCCGTCTGCTAAATGACTAGAATGTTAAAATGTGATCAGGAGGATTGTAATTATTACCATGCTTTAGTGTGTCCGTTTGCGCTATTTTATAGTATTATAATTAGTACATCAATATTCTTAAATTGATATAACATCCAAAAACAAAACCTACAGACTTTCTACACAGAAATCAATGGGAACCCCATCTACTGTTTTGTGGCGTCCACGTTTCCACACGGACCTAAAAGTACAGACCAACGTTGTTTGTAGCAACGTGGGGCATGAATATTTACTAATACTCAGAACTTACAATTATTGTACATTAGTGTTATGAGTGGAAAGTATCTTTGACAGCCTCGACAATGCAGATATCCAGTGTGAATGATGTGAAGATTTATAACTTAAGCCACGGAAAGTCTCTTCCAGAGGTAAGTTTGCATTAGCTAACGTTGGCTAGTTAGCTTTCTTAATAGTTTAGCAAGCTAATTTACAATAAAAAATAAGCCAGTTAACTTAGCTACTGCTAATAGTATTTGATCACAGATTGATAACCTATTAAATTGCGTAGTTAAGTCCTTAGCTATTGCTCTATTGAAACAAAGGCATGCTAGGCAACTAGCCAGTCAGCTGGCTAACGCTGCAGCCATGGCATCAAGCATGGAGGTTTATATATTGCTGTGATATTGTGTATGAGGTCACAAATTAAGCAGTAGCTTCACATAACAATCAGAGTATGTGATAACACACGTCTCAATATTTGTTTCCCAGTGGCTCTCAGATCGGAAGAAAAGGGCATTGCAAAAGAAAGATGTTGGTGAGTATTCCTTTACTAACTAATGGCTTACAGGTGTTTGTGTGCTGGCCAAGTGGTCAGACTATTATTTAATGCCTCACCTATCTAACTGCTTTTTCTCAGACATCCAACGCAGGATCGAGCTCATCCAAGACTTTGAGATGCCCACAGTGTGCACCTCCATCAAAGTGTCAAGGGATGGGCAGTTCATTCTAGCAGCAGGTGAGCATTTGGCTTGCTGTCACTTTCAGATTAAATTTGGCACATATCACTAGAGTAGACAGTATTCTAAGTAATTACTGTTATGTATGGATTTGTCAGCTTCTTTTAACATCCTTTCAGGCACATACAAACCCAGGATCCGATGCTATGACACGTATCAGTTGTCCTTGAAGTTTGAGCGGTGTCTGGATTCAGACGGTAAGTGATAGACCCACTAGTTGTATATGTAAAAATATTTTGCGTCTATGGTCCTCTAGAACTCCGGTGTGCTATGGGAATCCCTGCAAGTATCCGTCCCTCCTTTTGTTGTGAAGTGAGTGGCTGGTCCATAGGAAGAGGATCCAGCTGTCTCAGTGATGGTCTCAGTCAGTCCTGACTCCACTAATGAACACTCACACTTAATACTTAACTAGGGTGCAGTCAGGCACACGTTCTCAGTAAACACACACCCAACATACACAATTGCCATGCTGTGATGGTCACCAATAAATACAGCTTTTGCATTCTGCGAAAGTCTTTGCCGGTAGATATTATTTTTTCTTGTAGCTAGTTCTGAAAGTGTTTTTTTCCTTCACAGTTGTGGCCTTTGACATTCTGTCCGATGACTATTCGAAGGTAAGACAGACTTCCTTGGTTGTTTCCTGCAGTGGGGGTTACCTAAACTTTTATTTTTTCAAGAAATAAATGTAACCTGATATTGTTGTGTGTGTGTGTATAGCTGGTGTTTCTGCATTGTAACCGGTACGTGGAGTTCCACTCGCAGCATGGACACTACTACAAGACGCGTATTCCCAAGTTTGGTAGGGACTTTGCCTACCACTACCCCTCCTGCGACCTCTACTTTGTTGGGGCAAGGTAAGGGTTAAAAGCCAAAAGAAGGTGGAGCATTCACTGTCTTGATTTCCTATGTATCATTAGACTTGGCTTCAACTTGACAAGTTGGAGTTTTGTTACTGTTGACTCTACAGTAAGACAGACCTTTTTCCTCTCTCTCAGCTCAGAGATATTCAGGCTCAATCTGGAGCAAGGCAGGTTCCTCAACTCCCTTCAGACAGATGCTGTGTAAGTATACATGTACAATACTTTACTTTATTTGTGAAGGCAGCTGTACATTAAAATACAATACAGTAAACACAGTCATTACAAGACTCGGCATTATGCATGGGATGCTAGACTGTGATCATGTCTCTTTTTGCCCTTTCTATGACTGACAGGGAGCACAATGTGTGTGACATCAACCCTGTCCATCAACTGTTGGCCTCAGGAACAGCGGAGGTGGGTGGAGCCTATGTGCCGCAAAGAGGATTGGACATTTTGTGTGTGTGCCTGTGTGTGTCTAACCGTGTTCCCTGTGTTGTTGGTGGCTAGGGAAAAGTGGAGTGCTGGGACCCTCGTGTACGAAGTCGGGTGGGGATGCTAGACTGTGCCCTGAGCAGCGTCACAGAAGGAGCAGAGTAAGTACACCACTAGAACATGAACAGTTAGATGTATCTAGAAAAACACCATTGTTCTAATCCATGATCTGAATGTGTTTGTCTTTAGAGTGGAGGGCTTACCGTCGGTCAGCGCACTCAAGTTTAACGGCTCTCTCACCATGGCTGTGGGAACCAGCACTGGGCAGGTATGAACTTTTACAATGAAGGTGTCTTTTGTGTCCTAATAGCTGGGATATTGCACAAAACTCTGGAATAGATGTTGAATTTGACTTATTGCCTAAATGTAGCCCTCCCCACAACTTTCCCTATTGACAATCGGTTTGCATGGTACTGTAGGTCCTCCTCTACGACCTGCGCTCCAGTCACCCCCTGCTGGTAAAAGACCATTACTACGGCCTTCCTATCAAGTCTGTCAACTTCCAGGACCACCTAGACCTGGTTCTGACTGCAGACTCCAAGATCATCAAGATCTGGAACAAAGACACAGTAAATGTTTATGAATGTTGAAAAAATGTGATTTAATGTTTTTTAAAACCAGACATTTGGTACCATTTTGACAGATTGGACATTTGAAAACCTTAATGTTTTTTGCTTGGATGTTGCAAAAACAGCGAAGATGATTTATGCTGGTTTAGAATATTGCCAACTGCACTATTCCAAACTCACTTTGAATATGCAAAAATTGCTCCGGCATTTCCTGGTTGCTAAAATTCTAATAGTTTGCCTAATTTCAGTTTCTGTGACAAAACAAGCAATGTAGGGAATCATTGTACCATCTAAACCGCTGTGAAATATGTTTTCCATAACCAAAAATATTGTATTTTCAGATGTTTGAAACTGGTGTACAAAACCGAAAATAAAAGACACAAAAAAACGAAACTTAAGAATGGGAAGTGTAGAAACAGTGCACATAGAACGGATCTACCGCTTCTTAGACTTGCTTTTCATGAATGACATATCTATAACTCATATTTCTATGTGAACTTGGTAAGGTTGCACAAAAAGGAATATATTCCAGCTTTAAGTATTTACAATTTAAATGTTGTGGTAATTTTGGGGAAATGCCTTTGCATTTTTTATAGTAAAAATGTCTTTGTCATTGGACAGTTGGTTGATGAAGGACAGACCACTAATTAACTATCACAGTGCTAGAACTGATATTCTAACCATACCTCTGGTCTGTTTCACCCTAGGGGAAAGTGTTCTCCTCCATTGAGCCCCAGACTAACATCAACGACGTGTGCATCTACCCTGGTTCTGGTGAGATCACCTCAGACACACTGTTATATTCTATTAACAATGAGCCAGATACACTAAACATTTCTTCTGTACCAAGTTTATCTCTGAGGGTTGGCCAACAGGCACTCTGTTATTTTCTTTGTAGTCATTTACCAGAATGCTCAACTACCACTAGATGGTGCCCAGTGACCTCAACAAGTCCTTACCTCTTCTGCTCCAGAGATATGCTACAGCAGGGGTCGGCAACAGAACCGGCCCGCAAGTGATTTAGTTTTAGGTTACAAAAAACAGTAAAATCACCAGGAATTCATCAAAAAACTATAATAATTTAGGAAATCTGTTCCCAGGTATTCCTACAAAAAAAAGAAAAAAAAGATGTGATTGTGTCTCAATGTGATTAAGGTTAGAAATTATTGTATTTGAAAATAACAACCTATTTCTGGGCTTAGTTGTGGTCAATTTGCAGTGTACTAATTATTATTATTATTTTCCGGATCCCCGACCATTCGCTCCAACAAAAATCGGCCCGCGGCTGAATCTAGTTGCTTACCCCCGTGCTACTGTATGAGGGCATGGACTGTGCTTTTGAAATAAGACTGCCACTCTATCCACTGACAGCTTCTCTACCAGCAATGATGTCTTATTACAGCAATCTTTAGTGAGCACTTGAGTTAAGGTGTTTAAGATTCTCGTTCAAGTTTTTATCACATGCACAAGTACACTGAAATGATTAACTTGCATGCTCTACCAAACAGTGCCGTAATCAATATCAAAATAGTTTAACTAATAAAAAATAAATATATAATAAAGAAAACACGAGAAATACAGTGCTTTGCAAAAGTATCCATCCCCCTTGGCGTTTTTCCTATTTTGTTGCATTACAACTTGTAACTTAAATGGATATATATTTGGATTTCATGTAATGGACATACACAAAATAGTCAAAATTGGTGAAGTGGAATGAAAAAAATAAATAACGGAAAAGTGGTGCGTGCATATGTATTCACCCCCTTTGCTATGAAGCCCCTAAATAAGATCTGGTGCAACCAATTACCTTCAGAAGTCACATAATTAGTTAAATAAAGTCCACCTGTGTGCAATCTAAGTGTCACATGATCTCAGTATATATACACCTGTTCTGAAAGGCCCCAGAGTCTGCAACACCACTAAGCAAGGGGCACCACCAAGCAAGCGGCACCATGAAGACCAAGTAGCTCTCCAAACAGGTCAGGGACAAAGTTGTGGAGAAGTACAGATCAGGGTTGGTTTATAAAAAAATATCTGAAACTTTGAACATCCCACGGAGCACCATTAAATCCATTATTAAAAAATTGAAAGAATATGGCACCACAACAAACCTGCCAATAGAGGGCCACCCACCAAAACTCACAGACCAGGCAAGGAAGGCATTAATCAAAGAGGCAACAAAGAAACCAATGATAACCCTGAAGGAGCTGCAAAGCTCCACAGCGGAGATTGGAGTATCTGTCCATAGGACCACTTTAAGCCGTACACTCCACAGAGCTGGGCTTTACGGAAGAGGGGCCAGAAAAAAGCCATTGCTTAAAGAAAAAAATAAGCAAACATGTTTGGTGTTCGCCAAAAGGCATGTGGGAGACTCCCCAAACATATGGAAGAAGGTACTGATGAGACTAAAATTGAGCTTTTTGGCCATCAAGGAAAACTCTGTCTGGCGCAAACCCAACACCTCTCATCACCCCGAGAACACCATCCCCAGCAGCATCATGCTGTGGGGATGTTTTTCATCGACTGGGAAACTGGTCAGAATTGAAGGAATGATGGATGGTGCTAAATACAGGGAAATTCTTGAGGGAAACCTGTTTCAGTCTTCCAGTGATTTGAGGCTGGGACGGAGGTTCACCTTCCAGCAGGACAATGACCCTAAGCATACTGCTAAAGCAACACTCAAGTGGTTTAAGGGGAAACATTTAAATGTCTTGGAATGGCCTAGTCAAAGCCCAGACCTCTTGAGAATTTGTGGTATGACTTAAAGATTGCTGTACACCAGCGGAACCCATCCAACTTGAAGAAGCTGGAGCAGTTTTGCCTTGAAGAATGGGCAGAAATTCCAGTGGCTAGATGTGGCAAGCTTATAGAGACATACCCCAACAGACTTGCAGCTGTAATTGCTGCAAAAGGTGGCTCTACAAAGTATTGACTTTGGTGGGGGTGAATAGTTATGCACGCTCAAAAATATTTTGCATCTTCAATGTGGTAGGCATGTTGTGTAAATCAAATGATACAAACCCCCATAAAATCCATTTTAATTCCAGGTTGTAAAGCAACAAAATAGGAAAAATGCCAAGGGGGGGTGTATACTTTCGCAAGCCACTGTAAGATGGGAAGCTATTTACAGGGTCAGTGCCAATAACAAATTTACAATGTGCAAGGATACTGGAGTATTTGAGGTAGATATGTACATATAGCCGGGTATTAGGAGAAAGTGACTGGTAGCAGGATAAATAGTCAACAGTATGGCAGCAGCATAAGTGGTGGGTGTGTGTGTGTGTGTGTGTGCAAGAGTGTCAGTGTAGGCGTGATAGGCGGATATACATGTAAACAGGACTGGAAAGTGAATCGTAGCAGTAATATATCAATATTTATGGTAATATACTAGTGGTAATATACACTGAGTGTACGAAACATTAGGAACATCTGCTCTTTCCATGACATAGACTGACAAGGTGAATCCAGGCGAATTTATTACGATCCTGCTTCAGTTCTCTTTTTGGCATGTACATTCTCTCCTTGTGACTTCATCCCAGAGATCACACACACACCTACTTTCTTTGGTATTTCCTTCGCAGACACACATGCCATTAAGTTTTGTCTACGCCTGGGCCCCTATTTCCCATCTCTCCCATGATGAGCATGCATTGTCTCCGATTCAGGTGCTGCTGGCCCTCTTGCTCTAAGAAATCTCTGTGAAGTTCCAGTGTGTAGGGGGGTGTGGAAGTGTATCAGTGGGAGCGGCAGGTAGCTTAGTGGTTAAGAGCGTTGTGCCAGTAACCGAAAGGTCGCTGGTTCTAATCCCCGAGCCGACTAGGTGAAAAATCTGTCTGTGCCCTTGAGCAAGGCACTTAACCCTAATTGCTCCTGTAAGTCGCTCTGGATAAGAGCGTCTGCTAAATGACTAAAAGAAAGTGACTGAAAGTGACTGACTTGGGAAAGGGAACGAATAGGAATGGAGGATGTTCCACTAATTAGCCCCCCAGTCACACAAAATGTGAGATGTTGTTGTGGGGTGGCGTGGCTGCCAAAAGTAAACTTGAGGCGTTCGTAGTGCTCCGTCAGCTACTACTCAACTGACCTACACTGAGTGTACAAAACATTAAGAACACCTGCTCTTTCCGTGACAGACTAACCAGGTGAAAGCTATGATCCCTTATTGATGTCACTTGTTATATCTACTTCAATCAGTGTAGATGAAGGGGAGGAGACCGGTTAAAGTATGTGTGCCATTGAGGGTGAATGAACAAGACAAAAGATTGAAGTGCCTTTGAACAGGGTGTGGTAGTAGGTGTCAGGCGCACCAGTTTGTCAAGAACTGCAACGCTGCTGGGTTTTTCAAGAATGGTCCACCACCCAAAGGACATCCAGCCAACTTGACACAACTGTGGGAAGCATTGGAGTCAACATGGGCCAGCATCCCTGTGGAACACTTTCGACACCTGGTAGAGTCCATGCCCCGAAAAACTGAGGCTGTTTTGATGGCAAAGGGTGTGCAACTCAATATTAGTACGGTGTTCCTAATGTTTTGTACACTCAGTGTACATGTTAACAGGAGTAATAGTGACCAGTAGCAGGATAAATAGATAGATACTAATGGTAATAAAATCAATGAACAGCAGGTAGTAATAAATATGATCAGTAATCATTTTAGCAGCAGCGTTGGTGTGAGGGGGAGCAATAGTTGTTAGCCATTTAACAGTCTAATGGCCAGGGGATAGAAGCTGTTTAGGAGTCTGTTGGTCTGAGCCTTGATGCACCGATACTGTCTGCCGGACTGGAGCATGGAGAACCGTCCATGTCTCAGGTGCCTGGAGTCTTTGGTAATTTTAAAGGCCTTTCTCAGACATCGCCTGGCATGTATGTCCTGGATGGCTGGCCTTCTGGTCGGGGGCGATGCAGTTGCCATACCAGACGGTGATTCAACCAATCAGGATGCTCTCGATGGAGCAGCTGTAAAAGTTCCTAAGGATCTGAGGGGCCATGCCAAATAGTTTCAGCCTCCTGAAGGAGAAGAGGCACTGCCGTGCCTTCTACACGACTGTGCTGGTGTGAGGGTCAGCGTGGCGGAGGTGTTGTCGCCTACCCTTACCACCTGGAATCGGCTCGTCAGGAAGTCCAGGATCCAGTTGCAGCGTGGGGTGTTTAGTCCCAGGGTCCCGAGCTTGGTGACGAGCTTTAAGGGCACTATGGTATTGAACACTGAGCTGTAGTCGATGAACAGAATCCTCACATAGGTATTCCTAATTTCTAGGTGGGAGAGGGCAGAGTGAAATGCAATTGAGATTGCGTCGTCTGTGGATCTGTTGGGGCGGTATGCAAATTGGAGTGGGTCCGGGGTGTCTGGGATTGATGGAGTTGATGTGTGCCATGACCAGCCTTTCAAAGCACTTCATGATTACAGATGTGAGTGCTACAGGGTGGTAGGCATTGTGGCAGAATGCCTTAGAGTTTTTAGGGACAAGAATGATGGTAGTCAGCTTGAAACATGTTGGGATTACAGACTGGGACAAGGAGAGGTTGAAAATGTCTGTGAAGACACCTGCCAGATGGTCTGCACATGCCCTGAGTACACGCCCTGGAATACCGTCTGGCCCTGCGGCCTTACAAGTGTTGACCCGTTTAAAAACTTTACTCATGTCAGCCTCGGAGAGATCACCCAGTCTTCCGGATTGACAGAGGCCCTCATGCAGGGCTCTGTTTTTGTCAAACCGTACATACATTCTTTTTCACATACTTAAGTTAGCAAAGTAATAAACTAAGTGGAACTGTACAAAAAGGCCCATTGGATTAAGCTGGATTCATTCAGGATGTAATCGCTGTAATTTCACATATTTCGCAAATCCACAGAACCATTTATATTAATGATTTGTTGTCAGATGAAGATGTGAGCAAGCCACACTTTTGTCAATAATGGTAGCACACATTTTAAAACCCAACAAGACTTTTTGGTTATTTTGCTGCTTTCTACTTTTCTACTGCATGCACATGAAGTTAGGCTTTTTAACTAGAGTCAAACAAAACCAGCAGACAATGAGCCTTTTTGTACAGTTCTACTTTTTTAGTTTATTACTTTGCTAACTTTAGTATCTGAAAAAGATCTGTCTGTTTCGTTAGCTCATCTCACTCATTCCCGCTTTTTTTATTCTCTCCTAACTTCACAGGTATGCTCTTCACTGCCAATGAAGACCCCAAGATGAATACGTTCTACATCCCTGTGAGTTCTACAATCCTCACGCTCCCTCAGGCTAGTTTTGCATACCTCAGTGTACCGCAGGTTTGGTTTGAAAGGTAAATCTTCCCATGAAATAGATTTACTCCAGGGTGTGAATTGAAACCAAACAGACCAAGGCAGTATAGAGAAGGCACGATAGGACGATTTCTGTTTGAGGGCTTTAGTGTTTGAGACTTTCATTTGTCCAGTTTGGTTTGGCTGGTGTTCTATGGTCTGCAAAAAAACACCAAGGGCACTATTCATAGGAAACCGCCCACCTGCTTTCACCTAGAAAGTGCCCTTGTTGGGTTGTGAATGTTCTTCAGCAACAGGTTGTCTTGTGTCTACCCCTATACCAGCTTTTCAGTTATTCTAGGAAAAGCATGTGTACACTGTAAAGTAGTCTCTGTTTAGGAAGATGATGTGTGTGTACTGTAAAGTAGTCTCTGTTTAGAAAGATGATGTGGTGACCCTGACACACGATTTGTTTCTAAGTACTGTCCCATTCATCAACCACTGATTAGATCACTGTGGTGTTGAGCTACGGAACAACAAGCTCTTAACTAGCGTGTGTTTGGGCCTACAGAGAGCTAATACTGAACTTAGGAAATATTGTGTTTATCTGTTAACAGCAAACACATTATATTTTTGGTTATTCGAGTTTTGGAATACTTCAGCGGCCCATATCAAACATTCACATAGCAGTGCTCAAACTGCCCTGAATAAATAGCTACATTTTTCACTCCGGTATGCTATGGAATCAACGGTAACCTCAAATATAACACAAAGTTGTGTGCAATGAACATCAATGGTAACCTCAGCTATAACACAAAGTTGTCAACTAGTTTGGTTTACTAATCTAATCTATCATTCATGGATAGATTAGATGAGCATGATTCCAGTTCCTGAGAGCTCGTTTCTCCCTAGGTTTTTAACTCGGGTGGTGTGCAAAGGCTTCCAATGCATGCCTCCTTCGCTGCCTATAGAACATTAGGGAAAGGTTTGGAAGTTAACATTAGCCATTGGCTCGTCAATGATTACACTGAGGAAGGGGGCATTCCGTAGACTTTGAACTCTGATTTGATAGACAAACAGAAGTCAGTTTGGATTGAACCCAGTGGCATTAAATTATCTTAAGTAAAGGGGTGATTCCAATCTGATAACGCAGGCAATCCTTGTCGATTCATCCTCAGAGCCCTTAAAGGATTGGATAGGTACAAGAAACTACACCTAGGAACTGGAATGTTGCCAACACCTACTTCCCTTACCAGCCCTCAAGAGCAGTAGAAAGGGAGAAATGTATTGAATTAGAATTCTTCAAATGTTCCTTCCTTGTCCCTCCTTCACTTCATCCCTTGTGCTTGTCTCTCCTTCCTCCCCTACATGTTGTCCCTGTGTAGGCACTGGGGCCTGCTCCTCGCTGGTGCTCCTTCCTGGACAACCTGACAGAGGAGCTGGAGGAGAGCCCTGAGAGTACAGTCTACGATGATTACAAGTTTGTCACCCGCAAGGACCTAGAGAATCTGGGTGAGAGGGGGGTGGAAGTACGCTATTGGCATATTACCTATCAGATATTACATATTTGTTCCTATCAAATGTACAGAAATACAAGTGCCTATTACGTAGAGGGTAGGGCCTTGAATTGGAATGGGCCATTCAAGTTATTTTTGGCCTAAAGTTCTTGAGGAACCTTCCAGGGCTGTGTACACTACACTTTTCATTCAGTGGAGGCCATTTTGTATTTAGGCAGGTTGGGGCAACACCGCTAGGCCAGGGGTGTACTCATTTTTGCAACTAAAACAAGAGTTTCTATTGGAAAAATTTAGGTAGGTCTCTCCCCCCGTTTCCTTCCGTTTAAGAAACGTTTTGCAACAGAATCGGCGTAATGAATACACCCCAGACTTACCCATCCCGCCTAAAAGGGAAACACTGGCAGAATGGAGAGAGAAATTAAGAGATGGAAGGAGGGATAGGGAAAGATGAAGGGGTGGTGAACAGAGGGGGTTGAAAGAACAGAGGAATGCTTGGGTCAGCACTAAAGAGATCAAATGACATGGAGGAGAAATGCGGTTATTGGGGAGGGATAAAAGGAGGGAGGGAAGGAGAGACGGGTGGAGTAGATGAGGGGGGGAAGAGGGACTAGGGCGGAGGGGAGTTCAGTTCACTGCAGCTGTGAAATGTGTCCTTGTTATGTAACAGACCGGCAGCGGGGCGGATAGAGTAAGATTTCTGACGAAGGCGGGTTTCTATCTGGTTACCACACACAAACACACACAGTCCTTGTGTGCCACAACTCCCACACATTCCTGAACTAAAGTGATCTTACAGTGAACTAAGCAGAGACCAAAAAGCCTCATGGTAGTCACTAACTCAAGTTCATTCAGTGCTGAAAGAATGGTGTCTGGCGGCTGATGTTACGCTACTTTATCTAAACTCTCTCAAAAGTCTTCTTACCAAATAGCTGAAATGGCTATGTTAGCAGAAAGGCCTATTTTGGCAGAAAAATTTAACAAGCTATCGCTACAATCCTGTTGAAAGACATGAGCTTTGACAAAACAGTTGTTGCATAATTGATAAATGAAAATCTGTTATATGAAGTAAAAGCTTAAGATTTTAATCGGCACTTATAGGCCTACCCTCTATTTCCTACTGTCCTGATTGTGTCAGTTTAAATGGGAGCAAACAGCCTTGATTTGCATCAGGGAAAATAACTGTAGAAACCAGTTGTCTACAGTCATGTCATTTTCTTCCAGCACATTCCAACAGGCTGCTTCTCAAAGTTAATTACTAAGCCTTACTGTCCTTGTCATGTCAGCCAATTTGAAAGAGTACAAATATTTTAATGAGTTTCACATGAAATGTAGCCTGCCCAAGGGAGGTTGAATATAGAGATATACAGTGCATTCAGAAAGTATTCAGACCCCCATTTCCACATTTTGTTACGTTACAGCCTTATTCTAAAATTGATTAAATAATTGTTTTTCCTCATCAATCTACACACAATACCCCTTAATGACAAAGTGAAAACAGGTTTTTAGAAATGTTTGCTAATTTAGATATATATATATATATATATATATATTAAAAAAACGTATTTACATAAGTATTTAGACCCTTTGCTATAAGACTCGAAATTGAACTCAGGTGCATCCTGTTTCCATTGATCATCCTTGAGATATTTCTACAACTTGATTGGAGTCCACCTGTGCTAAATTCAATTGATTGGACATGATTTGGAAAGGCACACACCTGTTTATATAAGGTCCCACAGTTGACAGTGCATGTCAGAGCAAAAACCAAGCCATGAGGTCAAAGGAATTATCCGTAGAGCTCCGAGACAGGATATTGTCTCGGCACAGATCTGGGGAAGGGTACCAAAAAATGTCTGCAGCGTTGAAGTTCCCCAAGAACACAGTGACCTCCATCATTCTTAAATGGAAGAAGTTTGGAACCACCAAGATTCTTCCTAGAGCTGGCCGCCCGGCCAAACTGAGCAATCGGTGGAGAAGGGCCTTGTTCAGGGAGGTGATCAAGAACCTGATGGTCACTCTGACAGAGCTCCAGAGTTCCTCTGTGGAGATGGGAGAACGTTCCAGAAGGACAACCATCTCTGCAGCACTCCACCAATCAGGCCTTTATGGTAGAGTGGCCAGACGGAAGCCACTCCTCAGTAAAAGGCACATGACAGCCAACTTGGAGTTTGCCAAAAGGTACCTAAAGGACTCTCAGACCATGAGAAACAAGATTCTCTGGCCTGATGAAACCAAGATTGAACTCTTTGGCCTGAATGCCAAGTGTCACATCTGGAGGAAACCTGGCACCATCCTTATGGTGAAGCATGGTGGTGGCAGCATCATGCTGTGGGGATGTTTTTCAGCAGCAGGGACTGGGAGACTAGTCAGGATCGAAGGAAAGATGAACAGAGAAAAGTACAGAGAGATCCTTGATGAAAACCTGCTCCAGAGCCCTCAGGACCTCAGACTGGGGCGAAGGTTCACCTTCCAAAAGTACAACGATCCTAAGCACACAGCCAAGACAACGCAGGAGTGGCTTCGGGACAAGTCTCTGAATGTCCTTGAGTGGCCCGGCCAGGGCCCGGACTTGAACCTGAGCGAACATCTCTGGAGAGACTTTAAAATAGCTGTGCAACGACGCTCCCCATCCAACCTGACAGATCTTGAGAGGATCTGCAGAGAGAAATGGGAGAAACTCCCCAAAGACGGGTGTTGCAAAGCTTGTAGCGTCATACCCAAGAAGACTCGAGGCTGTAATCACTGCCAAAGGTGCTTCAACAAATTACTGAGTAAAGGGTCTGAATACTTATGTAATTGTGATATTTCTTCTTTTTTTATATACATTTGCAAAAATAATAAAAAATGTGTTTTTGCTTTGTCATTATGGGGTATTGTGTGTAGATTGAGGCACATAAAAAAAAAATGCACTGTATAAAATGAATAAATCATCAATCATTGCACACATGTATAATGTAGCTGTTCACTCATGTTCAGGAAATATGTTTAATGTACATGCAATCTATAATGTTACCTGGCCTGTGTTCAACTATAGGTCTGTCTCACCTGGTGGGATCTTCTTTACTGCGGGCCTACATGCATGGCTTCTTCATGGACATCAGACTGTACCATAAGGTAGGTTGTGTGTGTGTATAACTGCATATTCTTAGTTGATTGTCGATGTTATTGAGTTGTGTGTCTAAATACATTTTGTGTGACTTGTCCAGGTGAAGACCATGGCCAATCCATTTGCCTACGATGAGTACCGCAAGGACAAGATTCGCCAAAAGATAGAAGAGTCCAGGGCCCAGAGAGTACAAATCAAGGTGGGATATTATACTCTGTGTGATTGTTAAAAACATAATACATTCAGACAGACAAGGATGTAAAAATAACTTTATAAAATAGCAACTGCTAATGTAAAAAGGGCTTTATAAAATACACTACATCACCAAAAGTATGCGGACACCCCTTCAAATTAGTTTGGCTATTTCAGCCACATCCGTTTCTGACAGTTTTATAAAATCGAGCACACAGCCATGTAATCTCCATAGACAAACATTGGCAATAGAATGGCCTTACTGAAGAGCTCAGTGACTTTCAACGTGGCACCGTCATAGGATGCCACCGTTCCAACAAGTCAGTTCGTCACATGCCCTGCTAGAGCTGCCCCGGTTAACTGTAAGTGCTGTTATTGTGATTGGCCAGTGTAGGCCGTCATTATAAATAAGAATTTGTTCTTAACTGTCTTGCCTAGTTAAATAAAGGTTAAATAATAAATATTGTGAAGTGGAAACGTCTAGGAACAACAACGGCTCAGCCGCGAAGTCGTAGGCCGCACAAGCTCACAGAACGGGACCGCCAAGTGCTGAAGCGCGTAAAAATCATCTGTCCTCTGTTGCAACACCCACTACCGAGTTCCAAACTGCCTCTTGAAGCAACGTCAGCACAAGAACTGTTCGTTGGGAGCTTCATGAAATGGGTTTCCATGGCCAAGCAGCCGCACACAAGCCTAAAATCACCATGCGCAATGCCAAGCGTCGGCTGGAGTGGTGTAAAGCTTGCCGCCATTGGACTCTGGAGCAGTGGAAACGCGTTCTCTTGAGTGATGAATCACGCTTCACCATCAGGCAGTCCGACAGAATCGGGGTTTGGAGGATGCCAGGAGAACGCTACTTGCCTCAATGCACAGTGCCAACTGTGAAGTTTGGTGGAGGAGGAATAATGGTCTGGGGCTGTTTTTCATGTGAAGGGAAATCTTAACGCTGCAGCATACAATGACATTCTAGACGATTCTGTGCTTCTAATTTTGTGGCAACAGTTTGGGGAAGGCCCTTTCCTGTTTCAGCATGACAATGCCCCCGTGCACAAAGCGAGGTCAATAAAGAAATGGTTTGTCGATTGGTGTGGAAGAACTTGACTGGCCTGCACAGAGCCCTGACCTCAACCCCATCAAACACATTTGAGATTAATTGGAACGCCGACTGCGAGCCAGGCCTAATCGCCCAACATCAGTGCCCGACCTCACTAATGCTCTTGTGGCTGAATGGAAGCAAGTCCCCGCAGCAATGTTCCAACATCTAGTGGAAAGCCTTTCCAGAAGAGTGGAGGCTGTTACAGTGCATTCGGAAAGTATTCAGACGCTAGAAGCTTGGCACACGTGTATTTGGGGCGTTTCTCCCATTCTTCTCTGCAGATCTTCTCAAGCTCTGTCAGGTTGGATGGGGAGCGTTGCTGCACAGCTATTTTCAGGTCTCTCCAGAGATGTTCGATCGGGTTCAAGTCCGGGCTCTGGCTGGGACACTCAAGGACATTCAGAGACTTGTCCCGAAGCCACTGCTGCGTTTTCTTGGCTGTGTGTTTAGGGTCGTTGTCCTGTTGGAAGTTTAACCTTCGCCCCGTCTGAGGTCCTGAACACTCTGGTGCAGGTTTTCATCAAGGATCTCTCTGTACTTTACTCCGTTCATCTTTCTCTCGATCTCCCAGTCCCTGCCGCTGAAAACATCCCCACAGCATGATGCTGCCACCACCACGCATCACCGTAGGGATGGTGCCATGTTTCCTCCAGACGTGACGCTTGGCATTCAGGCCAAAGAGTTCGATCTTGGTTTCATCAGGCCAGATAATCTTGTTTCTCATGGTCTGAGAGTCCTTTAGGTGCCTTTTGGCAAACTCCAAGCGGGCTGTCATGTGCCTTTTACTGAGGAGTGACTTCCGTCTGGCCACTCTACCATAAAGGCCTGATTGGTGGAGTGCTGCAGAGATGGTTGTCCTTCTGGAAGGTTCTCCCATCTCCACAGAGGAACTCTGGAGCTCTGTCAGAGTGACCAATGGGTTCTTGGTCACCTCCCTGACCAAGGCCCTTCTCCACCGATTGCTCAGTTTGGCCGGGCGGCCAGCTCTAGGAAGAGTCTTGGTGGTTCCAAACTTCTTCCATTTAATAATGATGGAGGCCACTGTGTTCTTGGGTAACTTCAATGCTGCAGACATTTTTTGGTACCCTTCCCCAGATCTGTGCCTAGACCATATCCTGTCTCGGAGCTCTACGGATAATTCCTTTGACCTCATGGCTTGGTTTTTGCTCTGACATGCACTGTCAACTGTGGGACCTTATATAAACAGGTGTGTGCCTTTCCAAATCATGTCCAATCAATTGAATTTAGCACAGGTGGACTCCAAGTCATAGAAACATCTCAAGGATTATCAATGGAAACAGGATGCACCTGAGCTCAATTTCAAGTCTCATAGCAAAGTGTCTGAATACTTATGTAAATAAGGTATTTCTGTTTTTATTTTGAATACATTTGCAAAAAATTATAAAAACCTGTTTTCGCTTTGTTATTATGGGGTATTGTGTGTAGATTGAGGGGAAAAAACAATTTAATCCATTTTTGAATAAGGCTGTAATGTAACAAAATGTGGGAAAAGTCAAGGCGTCTGAATAATTTTCGAATGCACTGTATAGCAGCAAAGGGGGGACCAACTCCATATTAATGCCCATGATTTTGGAATGAGATGTTCGATGAGCAGGTGTCCACATACTTTTGGTCATGTAGTGTACATTTGATTGATTAATTGAAGGACATGGTGATACAGACGTTGTTATCTAAGAAATGTATATTGCTAATATATTGTGTGTTGTGTTGTATAAATGTTCTGTGTTGCTGAGACAGAAGCTGCCCAAGGTGAACAAGGGGCTGGCTCTCAAACTGATGGAGGAGGGAGACGACGAGGGGGAACTGTCTGCCAGGAAGAAGAAGGGCAAGGTAGGAGCAAATACACCTGCGCACATACTCAGATTTCACATACTAGTCTAGGGCTGACCCCATTTAGTCGACTGGTCGATTGTTTGGTCGATAGGCTGTTGGTCGAGAAAGATTTCTGGCTCCCAGGTGTCCTTTATACAGGTAACGAGCTGAGATTAGGAGCACACTCTTAAAGGGAGTGCTCCTAATCTCAGCTTGTTACCTGTATAAAAGACACCTGTCCACCGAAGCAATCAATCAATCAGATTCCAAACTCTCCACCATGGCCAAGACCAAAGAGCTCTCCAAGGATGTCAGGGACAAGATTGTAGACCTACACAAGGCTGGAATGGGCTACAAGACCATCGCCATGCAGCTTGGTGAGAAGGTGACAACAGTTGGTGCGATTATTCTCAAATGGAAGAAACACAAAATAACTGTAAATCTCCCTCGGCCTGGGGCTCCATGCAAGATCTCACCTCGTGGAGTTGCAATGATCATGAGAACGGTGAGGAATCAGCCCAGAACTACACGGTAGGATCTTGTCAATGATCTCAAGGCAGCTGGGACCATAGTCACCAAGAAAACAATTGGTAACACACTACGCTGTGAAGGACTGAAATCCTGCAGCACCCGCAAGGTCCCCCTGCTCAAGAAAGCACATATACAGGGCCGTCTGAAGTTTGCCAATGAACATCTGAATGATTCAGAGGAGAACTGGGTGAAAGTGTTGTGGTCAGATGAGACCAAAATCGAGCTCTTTGGCATCAACTCAACTCGCCGTGTTTGGAGGAGGAGGAATGCTGACTATGATCCCAAGAACACCATCCCCACCGTCAAACATGGAGGTGGAAACATTATGCTTTGGGGGTGTTTTTCTGCTAAGGGGACAGGACAACTTCACCACATCAAAGGGACGATGGACGGGGCCATGTACCGTCAAATCTTGGGTGAGAATCTCCTTCCCTCTGCTAGGGCATTGAAAATGGGTTGTGGATGTGTATTCCAGCATGACAATGACCCAAAACACACGGCCAAGGCAACAAAGGAGTGGCTCAAGAAGAAGCACATTAAGGTCCTGGAGTGGCCTAGCCAGTCTCCAGAACTTAATCCCATAGAAAATATGTGGAGGGAGCTGAAGGTTCGAGTTGCCAAACGTCAGCCTCGAAACCTTAATGACTTGGAGAAGATCTGCAAAGAGGAGTGGAACAAAATCCCTCCTGAGATCTGTGCAAACCTGGTGGCCAACTACAAGAAACGTCTGACCTCTGTGATTGCCAACAAGGGTTTTGCCACCAAGTACTAAATCATGTTTTGCAGAGGGGTCAAATACTTATTTCCCTCATGAAAATGCAAATCAATTTATAACATTTTTGACATGCGTTTTTCTGGATTTTGTTGTTGTTATTCTGTCTCTCGCTGTTCAAATAAACCTACCATTAAAATTATAGACTGATCATGTCTTTGTCAGTGGGCAAACGTACAAAATCAGCAGGGGATCAAATACTTTTTTCCCTCACTGTATTTCTATCTATTTTTTTTATGGCACACAAGACACCTGTCTGATTCACGCATGTCTCAGTGGACTAATTAATTGCGGAGGCGGCAGGGATGGCTCACCAGTAGTGTCACCATTTACTGTTAATTCCCATCATTTCTCATCTAAAATGTTTGCTTGGTTATGGTCATTTCTGTTAATGCATTCAATATATTATTATTACAGTCTTTTACAGTTCTTATTGTCGGAGTAGACACGTTGTTTGCGGACTGCACAACCTAGGCTACACTTGTGAGGAACACGTTTTGTTTTATTTAATTCCATTTAGTTGTCCATTTATTCATTATCTTTTTTTTAATAGATCTCCTGTCAATGTTGAGTAAGGACACGCATCTGATTATGCATAGAAGTAGGCCTAGGCTACCTGGCCTGCGCGCAAATGTAGGCTTTTAAATATGCCCATTTGGGGATTTCATAACTCACCACCACTGTTGCGCTTCTCAAAGTAATTTTTTCTTCATCTCAAACAGCAAGTAAACGAAGTCCATTGAGAATGACAATAGTTCTTCAACGTAGCCTATTTGAAAAATCTTTCCAGCTCTCTTTCATAAACCTCTTGGCGTGAAAGGGGAAAAAAATGTCATGCTCTGATCCGGTGGAAACATCATAAAATAGGCTTACCTGATTACTTCTTATCCCTTGCGGAATAGCCTAAAGCTGTGTCTGTCCGGAGCTCACTGGTGCAGAAAACTGAGGACCCAGAATATTTTATACAATGCTGCAAGTTTGCTAGCAAGAGCTTCAGGCCGAACCAAGTTGATAGTTGATACAATGTTTCAAGTTCCTTGCAGACAGGCCATGCGTAGCCAATGTGATTTACAGGATATTTACAGCCTGCAATGTTTTTATTTATTGGCTTTATGTAGGCTATTTTTACATAGTCGGCAATGGCAATAGCAAAGCAACCGACGTGTTCGTGAGAGTCTCACCTTTCCACGGAGGGGTCATATTAGTGTGTAGCCCAAACTGTTTGGACGCTACAGGCGATTTTCGGGATGTCTCATACTCCGCCAAACACAGCTCTAGCTCTGTCACATTTCACCGCAGATTTGGAGGTGTTACATAGGCGGATGCGGTGGATTGAGACACATCCAATGCAAAAGAACAGATATCTCTAGCTTAAATTGACAGATTTGTATGGGGATTTTTTTATTATGGGCGGACATACACTCTAGGGGGTTTAAAACACATGGGGTGTGTCTATATAGGGAAAACACTAATCGAAACATTTGGACCAATCGATTAATCGAAAGAACAGACGACTCTCGGTCGACCAAAACATTATACATTTTTTGTCGGGGACAGCCCTATACTGGTATTTTCAGAGCTGTAGGCTGGGTTTATATATTTTTGGTTCTAAGGTAATCTAGAGGAAACTGGCATGTACAGGTAACTGCCAAAATAAAGGAAACACCAACATAAAGTATCTTAAAAGGGCGTTGGGCCACCACGAGCCGCCAGAACAGCTTCAATGCACCTTAGCATAAATTCTACAAGTGTCTGGAACTCTATTGGAGGGATGCGACACCATTCTTTCATAAGAAATTCCATCATTTGGTGTTTTGTTAATGGTGGTGGAAAATGCTGTCTCAAGCGCCACTTCAGAATCTCCCATAAGTGTTCAATTGTGTTGATCTGGTGACTGACAGCCATGGCATATGGTTTACATCGTTTTCATGCTCATCAAACCATTCAGTGACCACTCGTGCCCTGTGGATGGGAGCATTGCCATCTTATGGGGGCATAGCCATGGTAGCCAACATAATGGCCTGCCCAGCATTTATATACGTGACCCTAAACATGATGGAATGTTAATTGCTTAATAATCTCAGGAACCACACCTGTGGCAGGTAGTTTAGTGGTTAAGAGCGTTGTGCCAGTAACCGAAAGGTCGCTGGTTCTAATCCCCAAGCAGTCGGCTTGGGGATTAGAACCAGCGACCTTTCGGTTACTGGCACAACGCTCTTAACCACTAAAACTACCTGACACAGGTGAAAAATCTGTCGATGTGCCCTTGAGCAAGGCACTTAACCTTAATTGCTCCTGTAAGTCACTCTGGATAAGAGTGTCTGCTAAATGACTAAAATCTCATCTAAATCTGTGTGGAAGCACCTGCTTTCAATATACTTTGTATCCCTCATTTACTTGTTTCCATTATTTTGTCAGTTACATATTATCTCAAATATGCTCATCTAGCGAATGTGTCAGCTGCCTAAACTGTTAATCAAATCCTCTCTCACTCTTTCTGCCCCCTCTGCCAGGCTCTACCCAGCATCCTTAGCGACGAGCGTTTCCAGGTGATGTTTGAGAACCCAGACTACCAGGTGGAGGAGCAGAGTGAGGAGTTCCGCCTGCTCAACCCCATCGTGTCCAAAGTGGGCCAGAAGAGGAGGAAGAAGCTGCGGCTGCTAGCCAAACAAGCCATTGACTCTGAAAAGGTAACAAGGCTAGCTAGCTAGCTTTCTACCCATACCGAAGTTTGATAGATAAGCTTCTGAATCGTAGCCTACACCGAAAATGGATTGTGGCTTTCAAGGTGAACAAACTTTCTACCCATTCTAATTCTACAATGTCACCACCTCCCTCTTCTTCCTCTCTGAAGACTGAACCAGACCAGGAAGAGGAGGAGCCAGAGGGGCGTGGCAGCTCAGACGAGAGTTCTGATGACGATAAGAGCTGGGTGGACGAGGTCAGGGAGCAGCGGCGCCTCATATATGAGGAGGGACGGGACCGCAGGCGGCAGGAGAGGAAGCAGCAGGACCGCAACACCACCCTGCTGGACCAGGACTCCACCCAGAACCAGGCTCAGGGCAGGAAACCGGGTCAGCAGCCCCGTTTCTTCCAGATCAAGGCTGGTGAGGAGTTCCGCAGCTTCGGGGACGTTTCACGCAAGCAGAAGTTGCAGAAGTGAGTAAGATTTTTTTTTTTTGTGAGCTTCTTGTGACGCTCTCTAGTCTCTAGGAACAACCTCTGAACCATAACATTTTGAATAGATGCCACAGAACGTCACAGCACACAATCCAAAGCAAGCATGGAGTAGTACTACAGTGATTGCATCAAATGTTACTCATTTTCACATTGTTACTGTCAGTCAGCACAAATAATCAACCCTCACATGGACATGGTATATAGAGTAGTCAGTTATTTTTTGCCAGTACAATGATTAGCAGGGAAACGTGACTGTGTTAAGGTGCCTGACTGTGCTGTGTTCTCTGCAGCAGACAGAAATGTGTGGCCTGCCTTGGTCACGGCCTGAGAGCGGCTGTCACATCCATCACTGTATTGACAGGTGGACACATGCAGCAAGCAGCAGGAAAAATTAGGACAAGGGTCAAATATAGGAAGGGAAGGGTATCCCAAGGGTTACCTCCCATTATGTAAAACACCCTCTACATGGATCTCGTGCTTCAAACTCATTAAAAAGCAAATATTTTAGTAAATATTTTAGTTTAGCGTGAAATAAGACTAAATGGTAAATAGTAGTAAATGTCGTCCTATAATAATAGTAATGTCGTCCTCTGTAGCTCAATTGGTAGAACATGGCGCTTGTAACGCCAGGGTAGTGGGTTCAATCCCCGGGACCACCCATACGTAAAAATGTATGCACACATGACTATAAGTCGCTTTGGATAAAAGCGTCTGCTAAATGGCATTTTAAAAAATGTAAATGGAACAATTTCAACGATTTTACTGAGTTGTAGTTCATATAAGGAAATCAGTCAATTGAAAGAAATTCATTAGGCCCTAATCTATGGATTTCACATGACTGGGCATGGGCGCAGCCATGGGTGGGCCTGGGAGGGCATAGGCCCACCCACTGGGGAGCCAGGACCAGCCAATCAGAATTAGTTTTACCCCACAAAAGGGCTTTATTACAGACAGAAATACTCCTCCGTTTCATCAGCTGTCCAGGTGGCTGGTCTCAGACGATCCCGCAGGTGAAGAAGCCGGATGTGGAGGTCCTGGGGTGGCGTGGTTACACGTGGTCTGCGGTTGTGAGGCCAGTTGGACGTACTGCCAAATTCTCAAAAACTAAGTTGGAGGCGGCTTATGGTCGAGAAATTAACATTACATTCTCTGCCAACAGCTCTGGTGGACATTCCTGCTGTCAGCATACCAATTGCATGCTCCCTCTAAACTTGAGACATCTGTGGCATTGTGTTGTGTGACAAAACTGCACATTTTAGAGTGGCCTTTTATTGTCCCCAGTACAAGGTGCACCTGTGTAATGATCATGCTGTTTATTAACTTCTTTATGCCACACCTGTCAGGTGGATGGATTATCTTGGCAAAGGAGAAATGCTCACTAACAGGGATGTAAACAAATTTCTGCACAATATTTGAGCTAAATAATATTTTTGTGCATATGGAAAAAATATATTTTATTTCAGCTCATGAAACATGAGACCAACACATTACATGTTGCGTTTATATTTTTGTTCAGTATAGATTTAGTGACTGCCAAAAGATGACCGCTGTCTAGTAAAAGTGCTTCAGAGGGAATTTACTTTCTAGTATACCTTTAATTTCATTAAATTTTTTCGTCAACTTTTATTAATTGTTACTATAAAATATAGGCCCTATGTGTGTTGACTGTGATTAGGGCAGGGGAATGTAGGCTAAGTGTGTCTGGTCTGTTTAATGAACAAAATAAGAACTATTGATTTCATTTGCATGGTGCAGCCCATGGCTACAGACCAGTAACATAATTAATTAAACTCAAAATATGCTATTATATTATTTAAAAAATATGTTTCTTAGGACCTGCATTAACTAATTAATAATGCATTTCTTTGTCTGGCCACCTCATATAATTAGCCTACCAGAACATATCTGACAACGTTTTGAGTATCCAACTTTTTTATTCACCATAACAAGAAAATACAACGTAATTATTGAACAATTATTTCCAAGTAGGCAACTGCTAATTTATGGCCTAAATTCACCAGAGGCGTGTGTGTGATTTATTTTAGAATGCATTGTTTTGAATTATAATGACCCAACCGAAGCCGGGCGGGCGTTTGTCCTCTTTGACGCTTTTTGGCTCTTTTGAATTGGAAGAGGTAGCTAAGGGTTGAGGCTTTACCATACATGCTAAATTAGACCAATTCATCCACTTATGGAAACACATCGCTATCAGCAAAGATGATTGGAGATATGGACTGTCATGCTAGCATACAGTCACTGCTCTGCCTGTCCCGTCCTTTCCACCCACCTTTCTCTGCTTGCTCTGGCCGTCTGCTTCTGGTGAGTTTTTCGCTTTACTGTTGTGAGTGTGAAGAAATTAAAGCAGTGGAGGGTCTGAATTTAAACGGACTAATTTAGAACGTGCCGCTGTCAGGTTACCATGACAACGGTCGCAACAACCGGGTCAAAATGGAACGTTTCTTGCTCCTTCCCGGCAAAAGCAATGGCTATATAAAAGGTGAATGCCGACAAGAAAGACTTAAAAATAGCGCTGTTGGAAAGAAATATTGCACAATTGTTTTTACAGGCAAAATATCAGGAATCCTATGAGAAAGCAGTATAGGAAACAGGCTTTCTAGGTACTGCATTTAATCACCATTATATTGTGTGTGCATGTATCTGTTCATGCTCGTGATAGACCTGCCTATGTGTCCCATGTTGACATATGTGTCTACTGTCTTAACAGAGCGTCACTGGAGGAACGTCTGAAGCTGGAGGAACGTTCTGGAACAGTAAACGTGGCTGACACTGCTGTCGGCAGCAAACAGCTCACCTTCACCCTCAAGAAGGTAAGTCATGACAGTGACACCATTACATAATAAGCCACCGAAAGGGACAGTGTGATTTGCGTGTAACATATGCTACCTCCACAGTCCTGTCTTTTCAAATAGAGCAGTCTCTTTTATCCAGAGTCCTTTTCATATTTGTTCTCACTTGTAGTCCATTCAGTCAGAATGATTAATGAGGAATGTGATCTTGAAGTGTGTGGGTGACTGTGGGTTGGTGAGGTCAACTTTCCATTTGACTACTGACTACTAATCAGGATTTCTGCTGATCCTGGGTTCAGTAACACTAACAAAGAGAGCTTGTCATTGACATTTTACCTCCATCAGTCTGTTTTCCCCAAACATACATATTTACACAAAATATGAAAGTACAGGTTAAGGTTGACACTGCAGAGTAGCCACTGTGTATAATCTGTAATGGTGCACGCAGAAGAGGACCAATGGCACAGAAAATTCTTTGATCATTATCATTTTTGACTGCTGTTTTGACTTTGTGTTGTTATAACCCCAGATAAAGGTCGATCCCCCAAATCAGGTCAGCGACTGACTCTTGTGTCTTGTATTTGTATCTTGTGTCAGCACCCTTCGAAAAATGCTTCAATTATCAATGAGTTGCGTGGACATTGCAGTTTAAAAAAATAATAACATTGGTTTTGCACGGGACACTGATGGTGCAAGGCCAAGCTAGGTTTGGCTAAGGCTCCCTCACGTGCAGAGAGACTTGAGTCTGTCTGCTGGGTAAATGCCCTGTACTACAGTGTGAGCTGGAGGAAGCAGAGTGCCAAGGTCAATGTTGATTACAGGTCTGATAATAGAAAAGCGATTTATTTTTTTCGCATAAGGTCACTTAAGCATACTCCAATTAAAAGTATCTCTCTCTGCCTCCCTCTCCTCCTTTCTCTTCCTCTCCATTCTCAATGATCTCCTTCAGTCGGAGCAGCAACAGCGGCAGCAGCAGGCGGAGCGTGATCACCACGAGGAGAGGAAGAAGCTGAGGAGGTCCGCGGGACACCTATCGAGTGAGAGAGGCAGGGGTAGAGGTAGAGGGGGATTTAGAGGCAGAGGTGGGTGTAGAGGCGGATTTAGAGGTAGGGGTGTGAGTAGAGGGAGTAGAGGCAGGGGGCACTACTGAGGTAGAGGCAGAGGTAGCAGAACTACTCTGTGACACTACTGAGATTTAGAATCCCAAAGTCAAATGATTCAAAGTCTATTTGAATCATGGTAGAATGACACTTTGTTACCGTCTGGGAGTCGAGAGGTTGTGATGCAAAAGTGAGCTGACCAATTGTGACCTGCCCTGTAACACAGTTATGAAGATATGTTGGTAGAGCTGCTATGAAAGGATACAATGTGTATTATCTATTGATTGCAAAATTGCTAGACAACCGTTTTCAGGTCTTGCCAGATTTTCAAGTAGATTTAAGTCAAAACTGTAATTCGGCAACTCGGGAACATTCACTGTGTTCTTGGTAAGCAACTCCAGTGTAGATTTGGCCTTATGTTTTAGGTTATTGTCCTGCTGAAATGTGAATTAATCTCCCAGTGTCTGGTGGAAAGAAGATTGAACCAGGTTTTCCTCTATGATTTTGCCTGTGCATAGTTCCATTCCATTTATTTGTTATCCTGAAAAACTCCCCAGTCCTTAATGATTACAAGCATACACATAACATGATGCAGCCACCACTATGCTTGAAAATATGGAGAGTGGTACTCAGTAATGTCTTGTATTGGATTTGCCCCAAACGTAAGTTTGTATTCAGAACAAAAAGTTAATTGCTTTGCCAAATTTTTTTGCATTATTACTTTAGTGCCTTGTTGAAAGCAGGATGCATGTTTTGGAATATTTGTATTCTGTACAGGCTTCCTTCTTTTCACTCTGTCAATTAGGTTAGTATTGTGCAGTAACTACAATGTGGTTGATCCATCCTTAGTTTTCTCCTATCACAGCCATTAAACTCTGTGACTGTTTTAGTCACCATTGGCCTCATGGTGAAATCCCTAAACGGTTTCCTTCCTCTCCAACAACTGAGTTAGGAAGGACACCTGTATCTTTGTTGTGACAGGGTGTATTGATACACCATCCAAAGTATAATTAATAACTCCTGAACTTATTTAGGCTTGCCATAACAAAGGTGTTGAGTACTTATTGACTCAAGACATTTCAGCTTTTTGTTTTAAAAATGTCTAAAAACATAATTCCACTTTGACATTATGGGATATTGTGTGTAGGCCTGTAACAAACAAATCTCAATTTAATCCATTCTACATTCAGGCTGTAACACAACAACATTTGGGAAAAAGTCAAGGGGTATGAATACTTTCTGACGGCACTGTACGTATGTGTCCATGTGTGTCTGTGAGAAGTTCCTGACCTTCACCGTGTTCTTTTTCACTTCACAATCCTACTTTTCCTGTAGTGCAGACTGAACATGTCTGTATTATGCTCCGTGCCTGACCCATAAACGATTTTTACTAAACTTATACCTCCCTGGTCTGTGTTATGTTCTTATAGTGGCCTTATGGTCTCTGGGGATAATTGCACTGACATGCAGTTCTATGCTGGAAAAAGCTATCCAAAAATAAGTCCAACAGTTGGACACAAGGCCTCAGTTGTATGGGGAGAGTTTTATTTTATTAACTGACATACCATTTATAACGATTAGCACCCAATAATACATGTCCATCCACTGGCATGTCCAACAACTCTAAAGGGCTTCACAAATATATTTGACTTCCTTGGTATGACATAACACTTTCTGTGGATATTAAACGGCCACTATTTCACTCCAGTCCAGACAGATGGAAAAAGAAAGGAGGGAAGAGAAAAAAGGAGGTGAAGAAAAGTCCTGGGAACATGGAGCCCCAATTCTTGGAAGCAGCTTTCTCCGTTTGACCTCTCATCCCCCCAGTTCACACATGGCTGGCCCTCCTGTCTCCTGCCCTGGCCCTTTTGAAATGGGAGGAGGTGCTGTGCAATTCACCCCGACCCCCTCCCTAAAACACTGCTGCCTGGGGCCTCAAACCATGAGGCTTTAGGCACTGTCTGCCTCCCTTGCTCTTCCTTCCCGACTGTTTGGTGCTTGACCCTCTACCCTGGCTAGTCCCACTTAGAATTGTTATACTCATTTTACTTTGCCCAGCTCATCGCGAGTGGAGTATGACATACAAATGTAATCCAAAGATTAGATGTCTAAAGAAAGTTTAAGCTGTGCATTCTAGTTTCCATTGTTGGTTGCTGCAGAGTGAGATGTATAACAGGCGAAACAAAGAAAGGAAAACCGTTCCACTCATGTAATGCAAAAAACAATGAATTATCTACTATGACAAATCAACTTCCTAACTCTTAAATGTCTGCAAATCTCCTATTAACGTCAATGCATTCCAAGTTATGCAAGCATATCTCAAGATTCAATGGTATCATTCAAAAGGAAGGCCTTGACCATATAGTAATGTGTGTAGTAAAGCTGAGAGAAATAGAGGGCAGTCAGAGACTATACGGAACTAGTGAGGGATCTTGACTGTCTTTGAGGAGTTAAGGCTTGTGGTCTTCATACAATAATGACATGCATTTCAGTTGGTCAGGAACAGGGGACTCTTTCTTCATGGCACAGTTGTGTGTGGGGTGATGGGTAGTGGTGCATGGGCAGTGGGTAGATGATTTAGATCTGAACAATGGAGATGCAGTAGCTTCCCTAGCCTTTTGTATCTCAACCACTGCTGTGTGCTGTCAGCGGGTCACATAGCTGATCGCCCCGGCCTACTTTTTCTCATTGTTTGGGAAGAAAAGAGGGAAAGAAAGTGAGAGGGTGACTGCGTGTCACCACAATCATACTTACGTAAGAGGCTCATTCAAGCCGTCAACTGAGATGTTAAAAAGTGAACTTTGGAGAAATTGATTTCTTTCAGGCCTGCGGTTGTGTTTGTCATTTGATAGCTTATCCTCAGACAGCAAACCAACCGACTGATGTAGGAATGGTTAGTCTATCTTTCTCAGGTCTGGACAGCTGGTCACGCTTGTTGATTTTTTTGGCAGGGTCCTCTTTTTTTGCTCAACAAAACCATCAACATGGATACGCCAGATCTAGGCCACAGGAAGTGGGTCAGGCTAAGTTGGCATTTCCTGTAGCACATCACTCTTTTTCCAAGAAATTACAAAGAAAGGAGAACACTGAAATAACCAATAGGATGCATTTCTGTTTAGGCTGTCTAAAATCAGCTCAGATCAGTGTATTGATATGTTACCTCTGACCTTTTTTGGCGGTTGTAGGCCTACTGCTTATTTGAATTTGATTTGGTGTTATCTTGAATACCCCATGTGCCAATTAACTGACCTGCTTACTAACTCAAATGCTTTATTATTTAACCTAAGATGACAGTTTGAAAACTTGGGATGTAACTCCTTTGAATAAACATTCAAAAGAGCTTCCAAAAAACGTGTGAAAGATTGTTTCACTACAATCCCGTCATTCATTTATTGGAAAAGTATTTGATCGAGTCACCAAATCATTATATTTATTTATCTTGAACTACTGACTCATTCACAGCACAGCAAGACGAACAGTAACTTCCTTAGACCCCGACTAGGTGAAAAATCTGTCGATGTGCCCTTAAGCAAGGCACTTAACCCTAATTGCTCCTGTAAGTCGCTCTGGATAAGAGCGTCTGCTAAATGACTAAAATGTAAAATGTTAGACCAGTCATTAAGAGCTCTCCCATTTTGCATTGAGGCAACCAAAATGGGCATTTTTACCAGCGTGCACTGCTTCAGCCAAAGCAGCCCAGAGAAGAAAACAAACGAGGAGGGGCTGCTTTCACAGAGTAATCCCCTCTACTGTGTGCTTGAATGGGCCTCCCTGAGAAGCGACCACACACACGTCACCGTCTGAGCTCTGACGTTGGGTTAGGGAGCTCTTACATAGTGTGTAAAGCGAAGAGCAGGGGCCAGGGGAGAGAGGGGGATTTTTAGGAAAGATATAACATTTTTACTTCTGACTGCTTTTTGACCCTGGGAAGTTTTTGCATCATCACTTGGAACATTCTTTGTCAGCGCTTTCAAAGGTTTTCTGGGGCATATGGAGACTATTGGTTTAATGAGCAAACCAGGGTTCAAATGACAGGGGTGCTCTGGTGTTCCTTTCTTGTCACTACGTAAACTTCAGCCTTTGCCCTAGTAATTATAGCAGTGACATTGTGTGGGAATGTTGTGATGCTGAAGATTTTAACTGTGTAGCCTACTAATGCTCATAGGTGTGTGGACAAATCCCCATGGGGCCGATTCTGACATAGGACATTTCACGCCTTTCCTAGGGCATGGTTCCCTTGCGCGCACTGAATACATTTGAAATAACCCCAGAAAACACACCAACTGGGTGGCCTACCAATTTGATCAGGAAGTTTTTATTAAATTCGTTTTTTTCTGTTCTTTTCTCTAAAGCAATCCCTTTAAATATGATGTACCTTTCATTTGAATTTGACACAAGACTTGAATGTAGACTAGAGAATGCGTTCAGAATATAGAAAGATAGCCGTGACAAACATATTCATATTTGTCTCCATTTCAGAACTCATGGGTAGATTTAAAAACAGTCAGATTTTACACATCATTTATGTTTAGGGAATAATCATGAGTCCTACTTAATGGAAAAATAGAGCCTTTACGCACAAACGAAAGAAAGGTGGTTTGATTCATTTTGAAAATTGCCACATTCATTTTGTTGGAAGTACTGTAGCCTACAATATCATTTTAATATGGAGAAGAGTATACAATAGCATGACATAAATATACCTTAATTACCCGCACTGATGTGCCAAGTCTTGCACTGTGGGCCAAGTTTAAAGTAATGGTTTGAGCCCCATAATGATTTAATAAGCCTGCATTTTTACTTCAATTTGCATTAAACAGTATCCACTATTACTTGACCCTGAGCCACAACCACAAGGACATGACAGCGTTTACAGAGAAAATCTAAGTTAGGCTAAATAAAACATTGGAATGGAATTATACGAATGTAGGGAAGGGAACAAAAACTAAATTGGCAGTTAAATATTTGTGGTTATTACTTACGGTCGCTACCGATAGTGGCAAATTATATTTAACATAGGCTATAACCTAGACATTTAAGGAAACAGGAAAAGTCGGGGCATATGATTAAAACATTCTAGAGAGCACAAAGGTTACATTTGGCACGACTCTTTGCCTTGTCATCCAATTTGGCTAGTGATCTAAAATGTATCGCTGCAAGTTATAAAGCCATACAATTAAAATGCTCCATAATGGCACAGCATTTCATTCTTCACTGTGGGAAAGGGGCATAAATAGACCTACTTGTCATGTTGATTAGCTTTTCAGTTTTCTGCCATATGACTGGTTTCTCATTCATCTCCAGCAATCATAAGGTGAAGTAGATCTAAAACAATTGTCATTTAGCCTATATTTACAATCCCCTTATCCAAACCGGTTTCTCATTTACCTAGCTCTTATCATATCAATTTATACATTACAGTGCATGGAGAATGCTGTTATTGCTATCGGAAAAAATAAAGTAGATGCTTTTTCCACTTGGAAACGGCAGGTTCGCTCAACCTTATTCATGGTTTCCTCACGCATAAAGGTGGTGGAATTATTAGGGAATTTCCCCCATGCTTAAGTTTAAGGTCAGAATACACATAGAGAGAGAAGTGTATGAAAAGTAATGTAGTAATTCATAAAGAGAGGGAGAAGACTTTTTTGGAGGGAAACACTTTCCTCTCTTAATCTCTCTCACCTCTTTCTCTCTCTCTCTCTCTGATCCCTCTTTTGTCTCAACTCCTCCTCTTCCAGAAGGATGGGTGGAGCGAAATGTGCTGATGTGGGGCATTTTTCCCTACTTTCCCACATGGCGTTTGGCTAGAGAGAATGATCTCACCGCCGTCTGGGCATCTCTCCTACCTCCGCTGCTGCCCTCCTCCATCGCAGCTAGAGAACCCAAACAGCTCGACCCCTATGCACCGTTAAATAGTCATAAAATATATCCCATGAAAAAAGTAGCTTTTCCGCTCTGTCTCTGCCCTACCACAAATCTAACTCTGGATGACCCAGACTTGAAAGGCCCAGGGAGGGACGGCTCAGAGATGAAAGCATTGTGACCGTCAACCAGGGCAGGGAGACATGCTGAGTTGGCAGAAAAGGCCTGGACAAGGCTTCCTTATGCAACTAATGGCCCACTACAGTGGACTGAGTGGCATGGACTGGTAGTAAAGGTTGAATATGTCCAGTCAAGTGTCACAAAATCCAACCTGACTGTTTCGCTATGACCTGGTTTTATCTGTGTGCTACCATTGACTGAATAGCCTCCTTGCAGCGAAAACAAATTCATGAATTACCGTCAAAATATAACTTACTTTAAACAAGGAAGAACCACAAATGTGTCAAGAAGTGAAATTAGATTTCACAAGTGTGTGAGCTCCCCTCCACTCTTTTAAACAGTAAAATGTTATATTTGCAAGTGTGCATTGCAGATGCTATGAAGGTGTGTGTGTTCTACCAACGACTGAGTTACTGGTGCAGCGCTGTACATTTGAGTATGCATGCATGCTATTGAGCATTGAGCTAATGTGCATTACTGCACTTTCAAAATAAATGTATGGTGTGTGAGGCTGATTTCTAGGAATACATTTTTACAGAGAGTTGTTGGTTGGTGAGTAAAGTCTTTATCGATCCCCGAAGGTGAAATCTATCACTTGGTATTTGTGACAGTCTGTCTAGATACATATACTTTAGCTGGCATCCTTGGTAGGGCAGATGGCATTCTGAACTATACTCAGTGCACTGTCGTGAGCTGCTTTGACAGTCACCCCATTGGTTCTCATGTCCTGGCATGACCCCAATGGGACTTGGCACAAGAGTTCAGGCAATGATCATAGAGATAAACATTCCGCTTTACACACACAGATGGACCTAAAAACATTAAGGTTTCTCAGCCCAACACACCCTTAGTTAGTGTGTATAGACACTGAGTG